ATCCTATTGAACAAGATTGGTATAATATAACTCATTCAAATGATAAAACATTTGCCGAATCTTATGAAGTTACTTATCAAATTGATGAAAACGAACAAATTATAAATATTGATCCATCTGAATATAAAAATTTAGTATCATGGTTACCTGCAATTAATCAAAATGAATATGAACAAATGGAACATGTTAAATCACATTCAATGGATGATCTTTCACGAACAAGTAATGATCAAATATCTAGTATGTTTATTTTATTTTTTTCTTCTATATTATAAATTTTTATTATTTTAGCTTATCATCTTGAATCAATTTCTGATTTATCATCTACTGATGTATCATCTCGACATTGTACACTTCAGCGATCAAATTCTTATGATGGTTTTGGTGTTTATATAAGTACAGATATTGAAACAAATCGTGAACACGTTATTGAACAAGTTGAAAATTTATCTCCAGGTGATCAAGCTGGTTTAAAAGAAAATGATCGAATTTTGTGCATCAATGGTACACCTGTTATTCATGAAGATTATACGGTTGTTTTACAACTTATAAAACATGGTTTACAAACCGATTCATTAGATTTTGATGTTATTACAAATGATGCATATGAAGAATTCAAATCACAAATTAATCAAATTTATCAATAAATTATTTTCAAATGTGCATGTTATTTTGTATATGCTTCAAATATCTTTTAGCTTATTTAAAATGAATATATCTAGAATTTGAATTCATTCTTTTTTTTTCCGTTCTACATACATATATCCTTGATATAAAATTAACAGGCAGTAGAAAAGAAAGCGAAACTACAAGGATAATGTTATCTAATTTCTTATGAAATTTGACTAGACCCACACACCAAGTTAAATTTTAATGATGACTTGTGCGAATGATGCGGAGATCGATGATAATAATAGAAATTATATTATTCATATTGAACGTATTTTTTTTTTGAAAATAAATAAAATTCAAATATAAAAATAAAAAATATATATAAATTAAAAACGACAATCGTTAGCATATATTTTATATTATCAAAAGATGTCGTTATTAATATATACCACCATAAATAATACATAAGAAATCGAACGAATGTTCTTTTAAAACCAATCATAATGCTTGTCTCAATTTCCTCCATCATCCATATTATTCTCTCATCCATACTTTCAAAAAACACAACAAACGTAAACATCCACATATTCATCTCATTCAAATATCTTTTCTTTTTCCCCTGTTATTTATCGAATTATGGCCGAAGCACTAAGTGATGATATCGAATCTAATAGCAGTAATCCAATTTCTGTTCAAGTCAATTATCCCGGCCCAAAACATGATATTCAATATCCACTAAATATCCAATATTGCGGCGGTCAGTTTCTTCTTCTTTCGATTCTTATGAATTAATTACTCGTTCAATATATCCCTACAGAATGCTCTCTACCACTTGAATATTGTGAATATGGCGCAGGTAAATAAACAACAAAAAAATGAATTTATTTCATTTATTCCATATTTGAAGATCCTGAACGATGCCGTGAATGGCTCGAACGTACATTACCTGATTTATTAAATCAAATGCAAGCATCAGGGAATGCTAATGATGATAAAAGTGGCGAAAAAAAAAGACAAACTCGCGGTGGTAAAGGTATGCCAAAAGGAAAGAAAAAGTTTGAAGCTCAAAGAATTGTACTAAATAAACAACAACGAAAAGGAAATAAATTTGTTACAATTATTCAAGGTCTTGCATCGAATGGTATGAAATATATATATTTAATATAAATAATATAATATTTTTCTTCTTTTTTTTATGTAGAAGTTGATATTGAATTAGCGCGAAAATTTTTTGCCCAAAAATTTTCATGTGGTTGTTCGAAATCAGGTGATGATGAATTGACAATACAAGGTGATGTTGTTAGTGAACTTATTGATTTATTACCAGACAAATGGAATCAGGTATATACACATATATTTGATAAATTTAAAATTTATTATTTTCACTTTTTAGATTAATCCTGAATTGATCGAAGATAAATCTTGAATATAAATATCTATTGTGTTTTTTTGTTGTACGATAAAAAAAAATATTGTTATTTTTTATTTCTATTTACTTTGCGTGCAACATTGTACACAACTTTCTCATATGATTTTAGATTTCTCTGGTCTTCATCGCCCATTTTTAGTTAACTAAAAAAAAACAAGAACAACAAATGGCTAAAAGCAAAAATCATACCAATCATAACCAAAGTATAAATGAATATTTTTCCTTTTCCTGAATGCATTTGTTTTTAATTAGACAAAAAGGATCATCGTAATGGAATCAAACGACCACAATCGCAACGATTTCCATCTTTAACTGGTGTACGTTAAATTAAGACATTAATAAGGCAAATATTCTTTTGCTGTATGTTTAGGTTGATCCAAAATATGTTCGTAATTTAAAATTTACCAAACATCATAACCGTGTTGCTCGTAAAAACTTACTTAAAGCCCGAAAGGCTAAAATTGCCGGTGGCCAAAGTACAGCAGGTAAAGTCGTTAAACGAGTTGCTCGTGTAGTTGAACCAAAAAAATCTTCATGGTCACTTTCATCATTATTAAACAATGTTACTGCTTATTTTACTGGCGAAACAACAAAAACTGAAGTTAAAAAACGTCAAAAACGTACACATACATCAAAGAAATCAGCCAAATTACATGCAGCAGCAGCCGCAGCAGCAACATCAACAACAGCCAAACCAGCAGCAGCCAAACCAGCACCAGCAAAACCAACAACAACAACCGCTGCTAAAAAATAAAAAAGTTTTCTTAGTTGTTTTTGATTTTTGTGTATGAGCATATCATTTTCTTTGATGATATTGTTAAAACACAATGAAATTAAGAAGAAAAAAAGAATAAAATATATATAACAACATGATTTTCTTTAGTTTTTCAACATTCTCATTTATAGATTTAAAAAAGAAAAATTATGCATAGTCAGAAATATACAAGAAGAAATAAATGTACTGTATGTTCTAGTCTTTGTAAGTTCTTATTTCGAATAAATAAGAATATAAAAAAAACCAAATACATCATTTTTCTAGTACTTAATCCAAATAGCACCGGAGAATATTTCTGTGAGAAATATTTTCTTCAATTTTTAATTGATTTACAAAAGATAATTAATGATCAAAATAAAGTAGATGAGCATTTTAAAAATTCGATATTTGCTGATGAAGATAATATTAATCAAACATCATGTGTTGGTTTAACATTGATGCATATTAATATACTTGGTGGTAGGAATGCATGATATTTTGTTATTTGCGAATTAATTATATCTAGTTGCTCTCATAGATATTAGACTTTGCATGATAAAATAATTGATTCTTCTTGATTTTTCTTCAAACAATCTTGAATTAAATTAGGTCGTCAAGAATCTAATGAAAATGAAAATGAAGTTGAACAAGAGAATAATACATTTATTCCACCATATGAAGAATTATCAGCATTACATATTTGTCAAATACTTTTAAAACGTGGTGCATCACCAAATGGGAATCCTTTTTATGAGATGCGTCCATTACATATTGCTATTCGACGAGAATGGACACAAGTTGCTCGTATTTTACTAGAAGCAGGTAGATTTAATAAAAATATTCGCACGTACATATATAGAAGAAATTTCAAATATATTCAGGTGCGAATCCAAATATTTCCGAAAAAGATATATATGCATCTCGACCTATAGATATTGCTGTACTTAATGATGACCCCAGAATGATTGAAGTATATATATTTCAATAGGATTTTTTAATAGTAAGACTAATAATTTTTATATGTAGTTACTTCATAACTATGGTGCAAGTTTAAATGGAATTAAATCCATGCATCATCTTGCACCGCTTGCTGAAGCATTTGTTCGCGGTTATTTTAATGTATTCAAAACTTTATTAGAACTTGGTGCTCATCCATCTATAAATCTTCATCGAAATACAATTCGTTCATTTGGTGTACAATTATTCGATACAAATTTAAAAGGACGCCGACATTATATACAATTAATGTATGACCATGGTAAAATTTCATTCTATTACAAATTTGTATCGTTTGTTTTTTCTTTTTAAAATAATCATATTTAGGAGCAAATATTGAATCTCAATTTCAATTACATGCAATACGTATTGAACCAGATGGTATTAATTATTTTAAACCACGTTTAGAATTTTGTTGCGAACCTATTTGTGTTGTTGAACTTGATCAATCTATATTCATAAAATGGATTTGTATGTTTTTGTATCATTAGAATTTTGATTATTAAATTTAATTTTAGGTGAAACTCGAACATTAAAAGAACTCTGTCGTTTAAGTCTTCGCCGGTATTTTTTTAATTCATTCAATGATGGTTTTAAACGTCTTTCAACTCTCAAAGATCAAAGTCAATTAAATAATCAATTGTATAAATATATTATGTTTAATAAACAAACATAATTCTTTCCTTTTTGTAATGTATCTATTCTTAAAATTTATACAATAAATCCGATGTTTTACTCCTTATATCTTATAATTTTATTTAAATCTTTTCTAATCAATTAAGTAATACATGAACAATAAGAAATAAAGAAAATAAGTAAACGATTGATCTATATTTACACCAAGGGATAAGCAATCGGAAGATTTGAATTTAGAATATTTTTTTTCTCTACCATAGAACCAAAAAAAAAGAAGAAATAGAAATAAATCTGACATAAAGATGTTTGTATAATTAATAAGCTTGAGTATTCATAAGAGTTCGACGACGTTCAATATATTTTGAAATATTCCATTCTTGACTTTTTATGTTTACATCACCATTGCATACAAATAATAATTTGATTTTTCTACTATATTTAAGATTGGGTAAAAGCTAAAAGAAGAAATAGATATTTTTTATAATCATTGTTTTTTTCGTATGTCTTACTTTAGGCGAAAGTAAAAAATATTGTGAATTAGCTTTATCAGATGAATGTTTAACGAGTAATTCAAAAACACGTCTTTCATTTGTTGGATCCATACCCTTAGAAAAACAAGAAAATTAAAATTAAGCAAAAAAACAAGAAAAATCGGTGACTGGACAAAACGTCGCAGGCGTACGGCTCAGTGAGGGTGCATCGAATATCCACATCCCACGTACAAACACTGCCCAACATGAAAAATTTACTTAGCAATTCGTTTTGAACCCTAAAATGGGTTGCGACGTTCTGTCCTAGCGCCGAAAAATCCTTACTTGATTAATTTCGTCAACACATCGAAATGGACATATCGTCATATTTTGTAATGCAATCATATATAACATAACTGACACACTCTTTTCACCTCCACTTTGTAAAAATTCACTCTAAAAAGCAATCAATCTTATTTGAGATAGAATGATTTTTTGTGAAATATGAATTACCATTTCATGTAATTTTTCTCCATCGCGAAATTGTACTTTAATATTAACACCATATTTTTCAAAATCTTTCTAAAATAATTTTATTTTATTTTTTTCCAAAATAAACAAAAAAATTTCTTACATTCGATTCAGGAATATCTAAACAAATTTCACCTTTACATCCCATTGTATTAAATAAATCAACAAATTTTTCATTGATTTCAGTAATCATTTTATTAACTTGATTTAACCAATTTGTTTTATTTGTATCAGCTGTCATTTGTCCTTGTTTTATTTTATTTTCAAGATCATGTATACGATTTTCAATTTGAGTTAAATTTATTTTTTCTTGTTGATATTGACGAATAACCTTAAATAATGGAAAGAATAATATTTTTATATTTAATAATAAAAAGAAGTTTTGTTTTCTTCATACATCATCTTTAACAGTTCCTTGACAACTTAGTTGAGCATTAAAATTCATTATTTCAGATTCTAATTCAGCTAAACTTTCAGGAAATTTGTCAAATTTTTTTTGAAATTCTTTAAGTAATTTATCAGATAAAAGTATATCATCCGGTGTAATAGTCTTATTGAATGATTTAGCAATTTTTTGTGCAGCTAAGCGTGTTAATGATTCACTTGTTTCTAGACGTTTTTTCGAATTAAGTGTTTGTTCCTAAAAATAAAAAAACAAAAATTAATTTACAAATTTAATTATTCATTAAAGTTCTTCCGTTAGAATGTATATTGTATCAGACAATCCTTAGATGGGAGATTATGTATATCAGTGCAGAGATGTTCATCTCTGTATCAGTGGCAGATGTAACGGTTGACGACTGCCACCCCTTGATGATTCTTTTTTTCTCAATATTAGATTAAAAACTTTCGAAAAACTCTATCCAATGTTTTATCTAGCGAATGGGTTGGGTGGGCGGTGCCCATTCGAAATTTTGAATTGGGCACCTAAAAAATGAGACTTGGACAAAGCACTGATAGGCGGCGCCCACCCCCGAAAAACGAAACCTGGATAAAACACTGATGATCGTACCTTCAATTGAAGTAATTCTTCTTTATATGTTTCAAGACTAGCATCTGCTTTTTGATGTTGTTGTCTAGCAAGAGCAACACGACCACTATCAATAATTAGACTACTACATGATTGATTGAAATTCTAAAATACAAAAATAAATGAATACTTCTTCAATATTTTTGTTTTTCTTTATAAACTAACCTCAAATTGTTTAACTAATTGATTTAATTTATGCATTTTATCTTCATGAATTTTCATTTCTTTCTCATGTGCTAATGTTTCTTCTTTTTTAATATCAATTTGTTTTTTTGTATAGATATTTAATCTAAATTATAAAATAAAATAAATAGATAAATAAATAAAATAAGTAATCAAATAATCATACGTATGTTTTTTTTCTTCAACTTTACGTTCAAGTTTAGCTCTCATATTACGTTTATCACTTATTGCAATCTATAGTAATAAAATTAGATTAAAATTAATTTGTTTTGTTTTTTTTTGTTTAAATATTATCTACTTTGCGTGCTTTTATATCATCAAGTTGACGAGCAAAAGAAGTTAGTTCTTTTTCAAATGTTTGTTGACCTTTTTGTAATTCTTCGTAACGACCTTTTAATTGCTAAAATAAATATAGATTATAGGAAATTATTTGTGAAAATCTTATATGGATAGTAGGAGAGTACGATTATGTATAACAATATTTTTCTATTATCAAATCAAGGGAATTTTTTTATGACTAAATATCTAGTCGAGAACTGTGTCTAATCTTTTGTGTTTTCAATACAATAAAAAAATCTAGCATTTGATATCCACTAATAAGTCGAAATGAAATTCGAATAATCTCTTATTGAATATTTCTTATGAAAAATGTTTTTTCTTCATACCGCATGTTCTCGTTCAATTTGTTGTATTCGATCATGACTAATACTATCCGTTAAATATTTTTCTCTTGGTACATGAACATTAGTTGTCGATGGTTGACCCGTATAATATGAAACTGATACTGAATACTAAACAAAAAAATATAAATTAATTCAATGAATATATATATATATCTTAATATTCATACACAAAAATTTTTCACAAAAAATCTTCGAATTCTTTTATCTTCTGTAATATCTTCAATTTTTTTCAAAGCTGTATCTTTTGCAATTGGTATTGTATGAATTTTAGCTGTTTGACATAAATAACGTAAAATAGGATCAGGTCCTTGTATTGCATCAAGAACATAATGAGACATTCCATGATTACTGAAATCATTTATTGGTACTGCTTCTCGACGAAATTCGTCTAATGACATACGTGGTATAGCTGAACCATGTACAACTAATTTTTGTTTTTCATGACATTCTTTTATAAATAATTCCATATCATCTGTATCCTGTAAATAAAATATAAGAAGAAAAATAGAAAAAAACAAAAGTTTTTACTTCAAAAATAAACATGGCTAAAAGATCACGTTTAGGTATACTAAATTCAACATATTTCATCATATTTGCATCGTCAACATTTAATGAAAGAATCATTGGTTCATAGACTGTTTTTTTAAAAAGCATTCGATTTTGGCGAAGCCATTTAACAGCTTTCCATGCATCAGGATTTTGATGTTGTAGTTTTGTTAAACGAATTTCTTGAACATTATTTATATGACTAAGTTCACGTTGTTTAACTATAAATAATAGATAAAAAACTAAATTAAATTTTTATATTTTAAATTATACTTTGAATATCTTGTTGTATTCGACGTAATTCATCATTGACTTGTTGAAGTTTAAGAGATATTTGTGTTTGTTGTTCAGTAAGTTTTTTTCGTTCATCTTCTATTTTATTCCATTCAGCCTAGAAAATTTAAATTCATCAAATATTAATATATGTATATATTTATCTAACTTGTATATCATCTTGATCTTGAGAATTGATATCAATTGCATTTAATTCTTCTTCAAGTGCAGATATTTGCTGTTGAATATCTTTACATGATTCAATTCGACGATTTTCTTCATCTTTTTTATGACGAAGTTCATCACGAATTTTATCAATTAAATCATCACTTTGTTCAGATATAATATTGATTTCTTTAGTTAATTTATTTTTTAAATCAGCTGATTCTTTGTACTAAATAAAAATATATTTCAAGGGTAGATTGTGGGTATTTCACAAAATATAATATCATACTTTTGATTTATATGTTGTTTGAGCTTTATCAAATTCAGTTTTATATTTTCTAATTTCATCATTTAATGGTTTTAATCGAGTATTAATTTCAGTAACTTTATTTCTAACAAGCTCAAATGTTTTTGCAATTTTATCATGTTCAATTGCTTTTTCTTCATAATCCTAAATAAAAGCAAAAGAATCTAGACTAAGTATTATATATGAATATTTTTCAAGAACAATACACGAAAATGTTTGCATTGGGTATATTCAACAACTTTTGCTTCAAGATCTTTTCGACCTTGTATTGCTTGAACATCTGGCTCAAGATGTTTTAATATTTGTTTACATGATACAGCTTGATTCAATGCTTCATTTAAATCTACTTCTAAACTACGTGTTTCTTGTCCTAATGTTTTTAATGATTTATGAAGTAAATAAAGTTCTTCTCCACCAACCTATATAAATATTAAAATAAGAAAAAAACAACAGAATAATAAAATAATATCTACGAACGCATTTTTCTGTATTTTCAAGTAAATCACATTTCGACATGTTTGTAAATTCTGCTACTTTTTCTTGTGGTAAAAATTGACATAAATTATCGACTTGAATATGAAGTTTTTTCATTAATTCTTTAATCTATTAGAAAGAAAATATAATTAATAAAAAAACAAGAAAATCGTTTACAGCTGCTTCCGTTGATGGTTTTCCATTCAATGTCCATTTACTTGCATTATGTGTATGAAGTGTTCGATTAACAATCCAATTCGATCCTTTTTCACTATTAAATCTATTAATAAAGAATATATATATATTTAATTTACTTTGAAATTTCTATTTAACTTACAATTCAATTTCAATCATGCCTTTTTCATTGCCTGTTTTAATATAATCAGCAATATTACCAGCTCGACCAATAACTCGTGGATGGCCCGCTAGGCCAAGACAAATAGCACACACAATTGATGATTTTCTATAATTATAAATTTTTAAATCAACAAAATAAGTATTATACAAAAAACATACCCACTACCATTTGGTCCAATAATAACATTAAGTCGTGATCCTGGATAAAGTTCAACTTCTCTATATGTCCTAAAGAAAGTCGAAATTGATTTCAATTTTAGAAAAAAATCAAAGATTTATTTTACATGAAATTTTCTAAACGAATTCGTACAATAGCACCATGTGCATGTTTTTGAATCGTACTTTGGGATATTGTTGTTGATAATGTATCATTAAGATTCGATTGATTTTCCGTTCGATCTAATGTCATCTGAAAAAATGAAATAATGAATAAAAATATTCTAAACAATAACTTGACTGTGAATTCAAATTGATTAGAACGAAAAATAAAACAAATCAAACGGTCAATCCTTAACATATAACAAACTTTAACAGAATAGAAAAAATAATGATGTCACTCTATGCAAGAATATATATCGTATGTAAATATAAAATAATTTTTTTTTGATTACAAAAAGATCATCTAAATTTCTATGAATAATGAGAAATTTTTAAAATTTATATGAGAATATTCAGAAAGAAGATATATCATTTATTCATGCACTTTTTTTGATTATAAATATATTTATTTAGACTAAAAGTATTTTAATAGCATTAGTCTCTCTATCTTCACAAGAATTATTGGCGTGTCACCGACATTCGTATATCTTAGAAAACAGGAGTTATGGTCGTGAACATTTTTAGATTCATTAATGATCAAAATTTTTCATGTATATATATAAATTTGATTTGTTCGATGAAATAACGTATTTAAATGAATGATATCATAGAACAAGAATAAGATTTTACATTTAATAAAGCAGAAAAGACATTTCGCGTTGACATAAACAAAACGATGACAATTTATACAGAAAAAAACAATGAAATTAATTCAATCTTAAGGTGATCTTTCACGACGTCGACGATGACGTGATTCTTCTTCATCACTATGTTCCTTTCGATGTTTTTTTGAACTAAATAAAAATAATAAGATTAGTGGGTTTTTTGTTTGTCAATATATTTAACTTACTGTTTATGACTACTACGTTCTTTAGTAACTTCAGGTGATGTTTTCCTTTTTTTTTCATCTCGAGATTTATGACGATGATGATCTTTTTTTTCTTTATCTTTTTTTACTGGTTGTCGTTCTTCGGGCTCTTGTTCTTCTACTTCATCTTCTTCATCTTCATCTTGAACAATTCTATTTAGAAAAAAAAAGAAGAGAAATTAAAATATTCATATTAAATAAATCTTACGTATATTGTTTGCTAACTATTTCAGCTTTACGTCGTTCCATTTCTTTTATTTCTTCAGTTTTTCGTTCGGCTATTTTCTTTCGATCAAATTCTCCAATACCAAATGCTTCACGCAATTTTCGATTTTTTTCATCATTAGCTTGTGCCAATTGATGGGTTTCTTTTGAACTAAAAAAATATACATATAATAATAAATAAATAGTCGAACCAATCGTATTCTTCCTTCAGGAAAAACAAGATATAAACTTACACAGGACGTCCAAATTCATCATATTCAATATCAGTTTTATCATAAATTCCTTCACGTTCAATAAGCATTTTACGAAATTTTTGTACTTTTTGATTTGTAACTTCTTCATCATATCTATTAATAGAATAAAAAGAGAATTATTATCACACACATAATCTTATAGAAAAAAACAAACCCATTATTTAACATCATATCACGCATTTCCATACATTTAACTTCAACTCGACGTTTTTTTTCATGTTCAAGAATTTCAGCATTCCCTTTTTTTTCAATTAATGTTTCAAGTTTTTTTAATTCAACATCTTTAACATATTCAACACGTTCGCGTTTTGTAGGAACAAAAGATAAATTTTTTTGAACATAACCATTCGTACCAGTACCACGTGCAGTTGTTATACCAATACCGTTATACATTATTTATCTGAAAAGAAAAACGAAAAAAAAAACAAAACATTATAAACATAACAATGAATTATGTCTCTTTTTTATTTTTTATTTTATCAAGATCGCGTTTTTGTATAGAACGTAATGCTTTCTTTTTCATTCGTTTTAATTTAGCGGGGTTTTTGATCTAAGAATAAAATTAATTTAGATTTAAGAATTAATTATTTGATTTTACATACCACTTGAACAACTTCACCTTTACGTTCATTAGCTTCGCGACGTTCTTTATTTTCTTTTTGTCGTTGTTTGAGTTTCTAAATAAATATTAGTTGAAAATAATTAAGAAATTGGAAAGATTTTTTTTTATACATCTCGTTTTTCATTGACAGCATTCCACATTTCTTTTTCACGACCACGAGTTTCTTTTAAATCAGCTTTCATTTTCATACGTTCGTCATATGTAAGTTTGAGCGATTTTGGTCGAGTAATAGCAGAATATCTACGAAGAAAATATAATATGTAGAATTAAATAGATCATATATTAATTAGTTATTTTACCTTCCTTTGGTTAATTTCCATGTTCGACCACCTTTTGGTTTACCTTTTGGAATAGCATTTAACCGTTCTTTTTCCTGTTTAGCTGATGTTTCTGTATCCATCTAAAATATGAAAATTTTTTGTTCAATGGATCATAGTTATCGATATTTTCATGAAATCAATTTATGATGAATGAATGAAGTTATTTACGCAAGTTTAGTTTATTTGGGGTGGTGAATATTGTTCTTCTTTCTAGAAGCAAGACATTTATAACCAATAGGAATTGGTTATCAATAAAAAGTAGATAGAGGGCATTATATTATTGATGAAAACTTTTATATCGTAAATATGTAAATATGATAATCTAGTATTTTTAATTTTTTTCTGAAAAAAATGTCAAGATCGTTTGATAATTATTCGATACTGTCTTTTGAATGAGAAAAGTATTGTTTACAATTATTATATGATTAGTTGTAGATGTTTCTAGGCTAATGAGAGAGATATGAGAAGTGATTTCACCACTTCACAGCTCATATTTCATTTCGTAATCCTTTTCATTTAAGATATTAAACTTTCAAGTTTTAGCAGGTGAAATGATTCTAATCCTCTACTGCGATAATGTCGAACGCAAAAATATTCTGTTAGATACAAATTTCATCTCGTTTTCCTGAGCCAAAATCGTGCTCTTGAGAATCTTAGAAGAACGAACAAAATAAAGAATTATAGCTAGAATTGTAAGCCGATGAGTGGATCGGCGGCGGCTTAAAAATTTCAAGCTTTTTTCGCCCGTCAGCAGCGGCGGCTTAACCGATCGGCTTGCACCTCTAATTATAGCATCATAATCATGATTGTAGTAGTGATATTATTCGTTTAGGATTGCTGAATAGTTTGTACATTATTTTTATAGAACACTCAAATTGAAATATTTTTCATTATATATAAAGTGTTCAACTGTTGACTTTGACAATAAAATTGACCTACTTTTTCATTCAATGTCAAATACAAAAAAATTGATATTATCTTTTGGTGTTCGTCAGTGAAATTCATTTATTGATGGTATCTATCTAACTATTGAAGTTTTCAATCACGTGCCACATCTACATACATTTGTATTCGACATACGTTCATCCAAGGTGAATGTCACACTGAATACTAGATTGACTATTATACAAATGAAATAGATTGGTGCCACGTTTATTCAATGTATATATTATATTACAGTTAGATTCCACTAGTGGATTTATATAAAAAACATAAAGACAAATATTATAATTTAGTCAGTTTGCATATAAAATCTAAATCCTTATAATAACTATAAGATAATAATTTTCTGCAGTAGAAATAGATTTTTTAATGTGAAATTTTATTTCCTAAAACAAATAATATTTGATCGAAGTTATACAAAGTTATTTTCGTCTATTAGTATTCAATTGTTTATTATTTAATGGCGGTTTGATGAATTCCTATATTATATATCTAAAAATAAGATAAAGACGAAGTTAAAATAATTGTCGTTTGCTTCTTTAAATACAACAAAGATACTTCTACAGTGCATGACAGATTAACAATATATATTAGTGCATTCAAATATACAATTAGTCTACGAAGAAGGAACGGAGACATACTTGCATACATAAAATAGTAAAGTCTATTATGCAGTTACTGATTGTTGTTGTTGTTGTTCTTGGTCTCTACTTGGTCGTCTTATACTGGAATGGATGTTAGTAAAATCATTCCTTTAATTTTCTTTTTTTTTTAAACATACGAGCGTCGTTCTTGTGGCACATGTCCAACATCACCAATACCATAACAAATAACTCGACCATCTGCTGTAAAGACAAGATGAGTAATTGAACAATGGAATAGATTAAAACGAAGCCAAGCATCAGCTGGTATTTGTAATGCTCTAGCGAAAAATAATTTTCTAAGAATAAAATTCTATAAATAAATACTTACCGACAAACAAAATAACGAATAACATTAGCATGACATACAATAAGTTCATGTGAATCTTCAGTTTGAGTCGGAGGTGGTCGATGAATATAACGATGAAAAGCTCTTTCCATTCGATCGGTTTCTAATTCCAAACGACCCTATTTAGAAAAATTAAGTTTTGTATTCCCTAAAGATAATACTCAATTTATACTTTAGCAACATCATCAGCAAATCTTCCAGCTGGTTCAGGAAGAAATGGAAATCTAAATAAATATTAATTAAAATATAAAATCTAATATTTAATTATACCCTTCATTAAGATCAATATCTTGTTCAATTTTCTTAAATTTCAAATATTTATTAATAATTGATGCTGTTTGAATAGCACGAATAAGACCTGATTGTACAAAACGAGTAAATGAAATCTTTGATTCAACTAATGCTCGACCTGCCCAATCAGCTTGTTCATTACCTAAATATACAAATAAAATAAAATAAAATAATCTATTAACAATGATACAAACCTAATTCAGTCAATTGTTTTTGATCTTCAAATTTCGTTCGTGTTAGATATTGTCCATGTCGAACAAGATAAATATGTCTAACAACACGACTTTTACTCATTTCAGAATGACGACTACATATACGAAAAAAATGAATTAATTAAAAATGAAGTAAATAAACTAACCCATCCCAATTCCAATTCCATCGTTCATTCGATCGTATTGGAGTTGAAATTAATTGTTGATCTGGTTTGACTAGATCAATATTACTATCAGTTGGTGATTGAACTACAGTTGCAGCAAATACAACACCATATCGTTTTTTTTCATCAACAAGTAAATAAGCAGATGCTGTTGTACATAAAACTCCAACAGTTGAAGCAGCTAATTTCACTAAGAATCGCATGACGTTAAATGAATGAATGTTGGAAAAAAAAACTTTTTTCCTTTTTTTTTTTAAATCATATATTTTGATTGGTTTGTGCGTATATGAATAGAACAATATGTATGAATGCATTAATATATAAAACAAATGCATTTATTGGTTACCATGTGTTTCAATGACTTTAATGGAGATAAAAAGTAAAATCCTAATAAAAAAAAAAAGAAACGAGAATATAGGAGTTGTATTAACGTTATACTTTAAATTATGGCTAAACGTCGTCTTGAAGATGCAATTGTTGCATCTCGTGCATTAACAGTTGGAATAAAATTAATTGATAATTTTCGTAGTGCAACAAATTTATTTTCTCATGATGTTCATTCACATGGTGGTATTTTTTCATTACGTTTTTCTGATGAATTAGATCAAGTCGCTGTGGGTTATGGTGATGGATCTATACGTTTATTTTCAGTTACAAATGGTAAAGAAATAAATGAATATTGTGCAAGTAGTTTACCACCTATTGAACATTTACGTCGTCTTTCAATGGATTTACCAATAATGTCAATGAAATGGCATCCACTTGCAACAGATCATTTATATGCTGTATGTGTTGATGGAACTATTCGACAAGTTGATAAAAAAACAAATGTATTAAGTGTTATTGCATATGAACCTGATAATGAATTAACATCAATGGATTTTTCAATTGATGGTAAAAATTTTGCTACTGTTGGTAAAGATGCACATATTCGTGTATATGATAGTGAAAAAAATATTATTGTTCATAAATATCATAATCAACGTATTGATACACAATTAGAACAAATACGTAGCGATGATTTATCATGTACAACTGGACATTATTATCGAGCATTTGCATGTAAATTTCATCCAGAACATAAAAATATTTTATTAACAGCTGGTTGGGATAATGTTGTTAAATTATGGGATATACGGCAAAAAGATGCTATGACAGAAGAAATAGCTGGACCACATATTTGTGGTGAAGGAATTGATGCACGTGGAAATGATATATTAACAGCATCATGGACATGTGCAAATTCACTTCAAATATGGGATTTTCGAACAATGAATCTTATAAAAACATTGAAAGTACCAAATGCTGATAATGAACATGGTGAATTTATGTATGCAGGTCAATTATGTGATAATAAAACTGTATTAGCTGTTGGTAGTGGTACAAGTGCTTGTCATGTTATTAACTGGGAAACAAATCAGGAAATAGCTCGTTTACCATTATCAAAACCAATCTATGCACTTGATTCAATGTTAGGTGGACGAGTTTTTGCTTATGGTGGTTTGGATAAATTTTGTTTGGCACATATGAAAGACAATTAAATAAAACTCATTTGTTTGATATTTTTTTGTGAAATTTCTCTTGTATAAATTTTGCTCATGACATTTTTTTTCTTTTCTTTTGAAAATAAATAAGTTAATTATTATTAACAATTTTTCCTTTTGTTTTATAGATATTTATTATGGCTTGGGTAGAACGAATGATACCATCGTAAGTTTTATTCTGAAAAATAAATCAAGTTTCGTTTAATCATTTTTAATCATAGTGAACAAGATGAACAATTTGAAAGCTGGAGAAAAGAATTTCAACAAGAACGTTTATTACGTATTGTTCGTGAACGTGAAATTATGAAAGAAACAGCTAAACGATGCAAGTATGTGAAATTTATTCATCTTAGAATTAAATCAATTCATGTATATATTTATTTCTATAAGATCATATCAAGCACGTGAACAAGAAGCTAATGAAGCAATTGAACGAAAACGTCAAGCTATTTTAGCACAACGTAAAGCAGCAACTGTACAAGCAACAATGAGATTTCAACGTAATTTACCAGGATTTACTGTGATGGGTAATAAGATAAATTGTTTTTTATATATTTCTAATATAATGATTTATTTTTAAAGATCCAGATAAATTTGATCGAGCCATAGAAACTATAACCGGTCGTCAGTTATCGAATCGATCTACACCAAGACGAGTAACAACACAACAACACCAGCAACAACAACGACCGAAATCAAATATAACATTTCGACGATCAATTTCAATGGAAGAATTAGGATCACAACAATATCAACAACAACAAATCACTAATCCTTATAAAACTGAACAAAGACATCAAACGATTTTAGCTCGAACAAATTCTGTTACACATATACCACAACATACTAATCAAGTACAATATACATCACCATTACAAGAAGTTCAACGTCGTGTTTTAAATGATTTTGCTGCTCAAGTACAATCTACTATTAATCAACAACAGCAGCAGCAACAGCAACAATTCGATGAAACAAATACATGGGATCGTGAAAGTATTGATAGTCTAGAAGAATCAAATAGTTATCAACCACAACAAATTATATCTTCACATAATATTAGTGGTCCTATTGTTCGGCCAACTCAAATTATCAATATTCAAACAAAACAAACTCAGCAGCCTTCAACTGTAAATAATTCAGCTTTTAAAACTATGACAATTGATGATCAACAAGAAATATTACGTCGAAGTTATCATGAAAGTTTTTTTGTTAAAAATACACCTGTAACTGGTAATGAACAAGTTAATGCATGGTTAGGTGCTGGTAAAATATCATTACTACAAAATAAACATACTGATATTATTGATAAACCTTCATCACTTGATGGAACAGATTCAGAAATCAATGGAAGAAGAAAAAGTATACTTAAACGATCACCTTCTGTTGATAGTAATAGTAAAAATTCAGTTAAGAATACAAAACAAATCGTACCACCAAAAAAACCAATTGCTCCACAAACACGAACAATTGGAGAAAAATCACGTGTGAAAGATAGTTTAGATGTGATCAATACAAAATTATTGAAGGAAATAGAAATACAAGTAAAATATTATATCTATTATTTGTAGTATATAGAAATATCTGTCTCATACATAATTCTATTATCTATTTAGAAAAAAACAGTTCGATTTGCATCAGATACTGATAGTGAACGATGTGCATCAGATACTCGACTTGTTAAACAATCTGATCGTGGTATAATAAATAAAAAATGATGAGAAAAAAGAAATTTTCATATAGAAATATTTAGATAATGAACAACAAACGCCTTTACGTCGTATACAATCAGCTGCAATTTTAACACTACCTAATCGTCCTCCTATAAAGTAAGTTTATTTTTAATATTTTCGAGAACATAAAAAAACGATTTATTCAAGTAATTTTTCACAATTCGTTTTGAGAAAAGCAACAAGTAAAACAAATTGTTGAGGTTTTTTATTGTGATCTTTAATAATAGGCCGAAGTCGATATTGAGTTATTGATGCAGGAATTAAAAATGTTTCAATATAATTATATCGTTGTTTTTCTTGATTATTATTCATAAATTCATATTCAATTTCAATTGCATCACCTTCAACTAACATACATAAATGAAAACGATTATCTGTTGAACGTATTATGTCAATGGATTCATTTGATTGAATAATCAGACGATGTACATCATAGAAATGTAAATCATGTGTTGGTAAATGTTGTTCTTCGTATTGATTTGATTCCGAATGAATGACTCTTGGTTGACAACGAAGTTGTTCACCACGTCGATCAAATTTTAAATTTTTCATTCCATGTTCAATATTTAATGGGCGAAGACGATTATCAAGACCTAATCGTAACCAATCATATAATTTAAATGTATATATATAAGGTGTAGCTGATATTTCAAGTACAACTTGATTATGACCAGATGCATGAATTGTTTCATTCGGTATAAGAAAAAAATCATGAATATTTGATGGAATACATTGAATATATTTCGAAACATTTAATTCTTGTTTTTCTTGACGACTTAATAATAATGCTTGATGAAATTCTTCAGGATCAATATTATCCTGAAAACCAAGATAAACATGAGATGATGAACTTTTATCATCGATACATTCTTTATTCCAATGTTGTTTTGTTTCAAGTATATAATATGTTTCATCTTGAGTTATTTTTTCTCCAAAATTCGTACGCATATATTGTAAATTAGGATGACATTGTATTGATAAATTTCCTCCATCGATCGTATCAAGAAAATCAAAACGTATAGGAAAATCATTGGAATCACCAAATAATTTATAATGTTCATCATTTCCAAGTATTTTTCTAGCTTGTGACCCATAGAAAATATCCCAAGAAAATTCAAGAAGATGATGATTTACATCTGATAAAATAATTCCATTTTCTGGTGTTATCATTTCAAATGACCATGCATAATTTTTTGGAGATTGTGATAGATTTGTACAAACAGATTTAAGCCATTGACCACCCCATGGACCTGGTTCAAACCATGGTCGTACACGAATTGGTTTATTAACTATATAATCAAGTGTTTGACGAAATATATTTCCATCTAACCATGTTGGACAATTTGGTCTTTGACCATCAATAAAAATATTTATACGAGAAAGAAGTAGTTGTTTTAATTTATTAAATATGGGATAATCAAGAAAATAAAGACATTTCTGTTCATACATTGCTGATGTTAATTCATAATCATCATTTGAATGAGACTTTTCTACACTTCTTTCTTTTGGTTTTAAATATGAACATGCTGTTTGTGCAGCAATACGATAATAAAGTTCATTTTTTGTTAAATCAATATAAATCAATGGTTTACTTTCATCAACAAATGAAGCACCAGGTCCAATAATAACACATGGATATGAAAGATTATTTTTTAAATAATCTAATTTTTTTAAATCTATAAAATCTTGTTTAAAATCTAAATCCGTTGCTAATTTACCAAATATTGATTTTGAATATTTAAGATAAGCTTTTCGTTTCTTATCGCAATCAGTTTGTAGAAATGTTCGTGTATCATAAAATATTAATGATGATTTTTCCGTTTTCTTTATTTGTTCATGATAATATTTATTTAATTCACAAGCAAATTCATTAAAATATGTTCCAACAAATCCATCGATTAATAAAATATGATTTTCTTCAATTAAATTAAATAATTGTTCATTTAATTGTTTATGTCCAATACCAATATGATTTCCTTTTGGAATTTCATGACATGGATAGAGATCATATTGATTTGTATCCAATGTTTTTATAACTGGAAGAAGATTTTGATCAGTTTGCCGAAAACATTTTGATTCGGTTTGAAATAATTGTGGAATTTGTTGATAAACGGCACCAAGACAAATTGATTTTTCATGTGAAAGACTAAAACATATTGGAATATTTGATGATGCTTGAAGAATTTTACTAATTTCATCTCGAATTAAATGATAAGAATGAGCAAGACCACCACCAATAATAATAAGATCAGTATGAAATTTTTCAATATGTGGTATTAAAAATTCTCCTAAGAGTCGTGCAAATATTCGAAAAGCTTTTATTGCATTTTCATCACCATTTAATGCTTGTTCAGCAAGAATTTCACCATCAATTAACTAAAACAAAAATTTTCATAAAAAAATTTATTTAGAAGAAAAACAAAGTTTTGTACTTTATTTGATGATAATGATGGTTGTTCATTGATAAATTCTTCTTGTAAAATTCTATTATAAATCTTAACTAAACCACGTGTAGAAAAGCAATCATCTGCTATAGAATTTTCTTTATATGGATAATTCCAAAGCATTCCACCAGATGGTACATCATGACGATTTAAAATAATTTCACCATCATCAATAAATGTCGAACCAAAACCAGTACCAAGTGTTAAAGCAAGAATACGTTTATAAACTTTATTATGCTTACTATTTGCTTCACCAATAGCAAAACAAGCTGCATCATTATAGAATGATATTGGAATTTCAGATAATTGCTTAACAATTGTCCAGATTTTTGGAGTTAAACTATGATTTATTAAAGATTTTTCTGATAAATTTAATTCACTATTAGGAAGAAAGTTTTCTTTGTCTTTTTCTGGAGAATCTATTTCATTATCTTGTAGACCACAATAATCTGTAATTTCTTTTGTTAATGAAATCGATTCATGTGTCTCCTCTTGATTAATTATACTTGAACGTGGTGATGTTGCGGGTGTAAAATATTTTGGATGGTGAATATGTTTCCAACGATCGCTAAGATTTCTAAGACCATCTTCCATTGATAAACGTAAATTTAAACCAAAAAACTTATCACATTTATTTAATTGCGTAGATTGAATATAACTTATACCTCGTTCATAATCCATTGGACCGGGTATACCACAAGCTATACCAATAATTTTATCATTTTCATTAAAATTATTTACAAAATCATGAATAAGATCCTCAATACATTCGATCCAAATAGAAACAATCGAACGTGGATCTTTATCTAGATTATTAGCAATTGTACGTGTATAAAATGCATTTCGTTCAATAGTTATATTTTGATTTGATGATGATGGTTGTTCAACACGGACAAGAGTTGCAGTTATATGACTGCCACCAATATCAAGTCCAATAACTAGAGATGACATGATAGATGTAATAGTTTAGCAAAAAAATGGTCTAAGTTTGAATGTAAAATGTCGAAGATAATATCTTATCTTTTATTGACACTAGTAAAAAAGATAATATGTTTTTTAGTCTTTGAGTTTCTCATTCATTTTTCAATTGATTTGAAATTTGAGATAAAAATCACAAAAAACTATTTTATTCTCAAATAAGAATAAACACAAAAGAAAGGATTTATTTCAACTGTAAAAGCAGGAGTAATGAAAAATTATTGAAATATTATATTAATATACTAAAAGCATATTTTCATAAGTTCATCCTTGAAATGATTAACTAAAAGTATTAGTTCATGTGTAAGACTGATATTATGACGTCAACATTATTTTAATTTCTACTTTGTAACCTTTGAAAAAGTCTATTGAAATATTCCATTAAGTTAATGCATGACAGACAGTGGAATGAATAAAGAATAAATTAATTATTAGCTTCTTCATGTATCACATAAACTTGTTATTTAAGCGATACATAACAGACAGAAGTTAAAAAAAAGAAAATTCTTATTTATATTTTCACCATAGACAAACATCAGGGAATGATGATCGTGCTTCTGAATGTTCATCAACAACAAGTTCTAAACCACCGGTATATCCATTAACACCTACAGGTCAAACACGACAAGGTTATTCAAATATTGGATTGAGACAACGTGAATTACGAGCAAAATTACATAAAACTCGATATGCACAATCAATAAGACAAACAAGTACATCTCCAACAATGTATGATTCTCCTTCGTCAAGACGTACACCAGTATCATCACCACATATGCCAAGAGTAATAGTTTTCTTTCTAATTAAATATAGAATTCTTTTTTGAAAAAACAAACACAATTTTTTAGTCAATGACACCATCGAAAACGAATGAATATAATAATAATAATGATGATGATGATGAGAGTCAATCAATTTTCAGTGAACTTCGAATGAGTTCAATACCAGGTAGTCAATTTAGTAATAATGACGCAAGATTACCACCACAGTATGTTAAGAAATTAAATTTTTATTGAAATCTATTTCTTTTAATTCATCCTAGAGTGCCGATAAATTCTCAAAATAAAATAACTGAATCAAAATTTAATGGAACAAAAAGTAAAATAAAATTCTTTTTTTGTTATATTTAATTTAATAAATATTTTAATTTCTAAAGATAATACAATACAAACTCCAACAACTCTATCGATAGAAGAACGTCGAGTACAAGAATCTATAGATCGACTTGATCAACGATTGAAAGGTTATTTCTTTCATTAATCTATATATGTATTTATTCACAGAAATATTTTTTTTAGAAGTTCAAGCAAGAACTCGATCAAACTCTGGTACAAGATCACAAAAGTAAAAACAAATTTCTTATTATAAATTATCATTCTATTATAAAACTTTTCGAATATTTTAGAAATCAAAAACGATAAATTTCATTTCTTTTTTTTTGTACAAATATAAATACATGTTTTACGTGTGTGTTTTTTTTTGAATTATTCATTCATCTACTTTTCTGTTTGATTTTCATAAGGCAATAATTATTTGTTTTTAAAAATAAATAACAAGATAAATTTGCCTTATTAATATTTGTTATTATCTATAGATTTATCAAAACATGTCTAAATCAAAATCAAAATTCAATAAGAATAAAAATGATGTAAATTAAACATTTTTCTTATTTATATATATATTTATAATGTCTTCTTCGTTATCTTTAGGATCTATCAGATTCTGATACATCATTAGAAAAATATTGTCCAGATGACGATTTTGTTTTAACATCATCATCAACATCAACAACATCGAGATCATCTCGTAAGAGAAAGACAAAAAATAAATTGTATTAAAAATTTTAATTTTAATAGCTGCTGTTGAACCAAGAAAAATGTTTCTTAAAAAACCAACAATAAAAAGAGATGAATTTAAAGTAAATTTAATTATAAGAATATTATTCTGTATGTTTTTATCAATATTTAGTTTGATGATGATATTAAAATGGGATTAACGGATGATAATGATCTTTTACACTCAGGTATTTATCTACTTAGTTTCTGTGATGATTTTACTTTTTTTTCTTAAAAGGATTAAGAAGACCATCTAATCCATTAGCAAAACTAGATGGACAACTTAGGTAAGATAAATTCATTATTTTGATAAAAATTAATAAGTTTTATTTTTAGTTTTGTTGCGGATTCACCTGCAAGTACAAATCCGGATCAAAGTAAACATTTTACTATTAAAGAAATAGGTTGATAATGATTATATTTTATTAGATAGAAAAGATGAAACACCATTTTCAACGATGAAATTCGGTTCTGATACACTTGATGAAGAACAAGAAAAAGCAGCATTTTTTCAAGTAAAAATTATTACACAAAGAAAATTTTTTCTTTTCATATTTTTCTTTTTGATTTAGAGTTTAGAAAAAAATAAAGCTGATGATAATATTGATTATGGTAGATTAAATCATGATATTGAATTTGAGTTATCACCAACACGAAATGGAACAGGTAATAGAAATTTATTTTGAAAAATAATAAAATAAATAATTTGTAAAATTAAAGTCTTAAATTCCTTTGATAAACAAATTAATCAAATGAGTACACCACTACATCCTCAACCAGATGATAATATTATGAAAGGTAAATCTTTCTTTTTATTGAATTTTTAATAAAATGAAAATTTTAGAATCTCTAACAAATGAACTTGATCGTGAAATAGAAAATGAAAAACAAAAAATAAATATGAAACATGTTACGATTATTGAACCTCCAACTCGTCCATCAGCTTCTGTAGATGATTTTACTCGAACAGCTAAAACAATATCAGGTAAATAAACGTTTTTTTTCGCAAAATACTTCAATTAACAAAATCTTTCTTAATTAGATTGTCTTACGACAACAACTGATAGTACACATGAATTAAATATGTTACATAATGCTTATAAGCAAAATATTAATTCAGAACCAACAACTCGAACAACAAGACCTTCTCTTTTTGATCCAAAAAAGAAAATACAACAACAACAACAAAAACCTACAGGTAATACATTGTGTGATAATTAGTTTCAAAATATGTTGAGTTACAATCAAAACCTATCACAGTTATTTACTAGACTTTAACTGGATGCATCTCTGAGAATTACAGTATAAAGTATGTTCCTTTGATGAAATTTTAAAACTCAATAGTACCCAACAAAATATTTTGTTGATAATTAGTTGTATCCTCAAGGCAAATTTCAGTTCGAAATGTTTTATGTCTTATGAAAGTCTACTCTGTTGATTAATTGAAGATTTTCAGTTTTAAATAACCTTTGTTAATATAGTTCTCTATAATTTATGGAGAATGGTACTTCGTATGAAAAGAAGAGTATCTCAATCTGCTGATTCTGATCCATACTCGATAGCCAATACTTTTGTGTTTACCTCAATACAAAAATTTTACTAGTATAATATATATTTAATCAGTAGTATGAGCACTGCAAAAGAGGTTAGTTTTTTTGGGATGCTAGATCTTAGCTAGTCCAACACTCGCCAAACAACACTTTCACCAATTCATTCTCTGGAATCTTGATAATTGACGGAAGTATAGTAAACATTCGCCAATACACCCTCGAACTTTTGTCAGTGACGAAGCCTGGATAACCTATTTTATTTATCTATAAATATTTCAATGATAAGATCAAGTATTCAGAATGCACATAAAAATCTAAATTTATCGTTCTTCTCCAAACAACTAGCAAATAAATCAATATTATTTTCTTATTTATTAAACTATTTAATAAAATATCTTTAGTAATCAAAACTGTTTCTAAACCAAATATTCAAACACTAGTAAAAAAAGGTAAATAACCAAAAAACATTTCTTTTTCTTTTTCAAAATAATATTTGAAATAGGTTCACCTAATACTGTTGCTCGTCCAAAAACTGCACCAGCACCAAAAGAAAATTTAAATGTACTATTTTTAATCTATATTCAATTTTCTCATAATCTATTTTTCTTTCAATATAGAAAGATTCATCATTAATTGAACAATTAAAACTTGATAAAGAATTATTAATACAAAAAATCGAATCCATAGAAACACGTCATCAAGAAGAATCACGTACTATTCGTCAAGAAAATTTTGTTCTTCAAGCAAAAGTATATCAATATCTTAATTAATTAGTTTTTTGTTTTTATTTTACGAACAAAATTATTTAGATTTCTCAATTAACATCAACAAATTCCGATGGAAAAAATGAAGTTCTTCCACCTAAACAACGTGAAGTTGCTGAATTAGAAAAATTGATTGATGGTTATGAAGCTCAAAATGAAAAACTCTGTAAACAAATAAAACAAAATGAACAACAACATAAACAAATTCAACAATCAATGTTTGATGAAAATGAAAAACTTCGTCAAGAATTAATCCAAGCAAAAATGTTTAATGAACAATATGAAAATTCTCATATAGGAAATATAAAAAAACATTCATCAACAATTGTTTTAACAAATTTAGTTAGTCAAGATCATGATAAAAGTGATAATGCAAATGATGATCAACGATTAAAAAATGAAATTATTATTTTAAAAAATCAATTAACTAATGTATTAAATAAGGATAAAAAAATTAATGAAGATGATTCTTTACGATTATTAGATCAAAGACGTATTAAAGATTTAGAAAGACAAGTTAAAGAATTAGGTATGTTAAATATAATTGACTAGACATGTATTGAAATTCGTAATGATCGAAAGAAATCACTTATCAAATTCAATTTTCTTTTATTAACAACTTCCGTGCTTGGTATTTTTAAGATCAATTATTTATTGAAATTTTTCTTCATATAAAAACCATAGGGGAATTTTTGTAGATTTAGATACAAATGACTTGAGTGTATCTCTAGGAATTTCGGTTAAAATCAAAGAACAAATAACATATCGGATCTTTTTCTAACAAGTAATATTAATGAACGGAAGCAAAATAATAGAATATTTTTCTTGTATGTTCGTAATAATTCTTCGAACGAGTAATAATATTATCTAACTGCACGATAAAATCTTCATCTTTCCAGTGCTTTGCTTATGATTCAAATCAGATTGTAGGCAATTATCGAATAGAATTCAAGTAAATATGTATTTCCTAGTAATTGTATGTATCTGCTTTATATATAAATACAAACATGTTCGAATACTCTGATACTACATCTTTAATCAGATATCAATATAATCTGATTGTCTATCGCTTTGATATATTACATATAGAGTGCGAGTAATCTGTTATTGTTTGAGTTTTATGTCTTACAATGTAAGATATAATGAGCAATATGCTACGTCTAAACAAAGATAATATCTGCTTAGAATAAATTCAATAAATGTAGATATATACATTTTTAGTTATCTATTGTTTATCAATTGTAAGTTGGCTGTTGATTAGTATTCCTTATTCTATATTATTCAACAATAATAATAGCTATTAATCTCGTAAGAGTCACAGAACCAGGATTATAGTAAACCTACGTATTGTTTTGATTTATTTCGAGATATGTGCGAGTAAACTATCATATTATATTGAAAGATTTTTCTCTTAGAATTAATTAATCGTCGTCGTCAACAAAATTCCATAACACAAGTCGGAATGGTATTAAATCCTTCTGATGCTAAAACTCAATTGGAATTAAAACTTAACAAAACTGAAGAAACATTACGTGAACATCAATTATCAGAAGAAAAACTTTTACATGAATTAAATATTCTTCAAGAAAAATATTCCTTAATGAAACAAATGTATACGACTAATGATCAACAAATATTAAATAATGATCAACTTGATAAACAACTTCATGATATATTGAGTAAAAATAAAAATCTTACTGGACAAGTACATTTAAGACGTGAAAATGAACGTTTAAAAAATGAATTAGAAAAACTTAAAACTCAACAAATACCAAAACCAGCTAAATGTATAAATTTTTTTAAAAAGAAACAAAAACATTATTTGATTTATTTTAATTTAGCTTTAAAACGTGATTTAGAAACAATTAAATTATTACGAACTGATCTTGAACGAAAGAATGATGAATTAGAAAAACTTCGAGCTTTATATGATGCTGTTAATGTTCAACATAAAAGTCTTTTAGCTGAACGTGAACGAGAAAAAACTCGGTTAGCAAGTAAAATACAATCATATTTATAAATAGATTTATTTTTATATTGAATAATTTTCTAAAATTTTCAGTTATGGGAAATAAACCATATCAACCCGATCGATTTACACAAGTTTTATCACCCGTTGAAACAGTTCATGCAGAAAATGAACAACTTAAACATCTGGTAAATATTCTTCTTTTTTTTGAATAATAAACAGTATAGAGAACTGCGGTTTTCACTCTTGGGAAGATCAGATGAATGCGCATTAAATCGTATATAAAGAATAGATCATGAAACCTTGTAGTATATAAGTCGATGCTTATCCATCTGATCTTTTCAGCAGTGACAACCGTAGTTCTCTATCCTGTTCGGCTCATAAGCTATTCTAAAAATATTCTCCCATTCTTTATAAAACCACTGGTCATGCCTACCAGATTCGGTGCAAACAAATCAGATATTATTAAAATTTTATTACTATAATATTTCTTGCGCTATGAGCAAATGTTATAGAACAAAAAAGAATTCCATTTTTTTACCTTACTTTAAGAAAATTAAACACTGACGGCACTACTCTTAGATTGCCCTAAGTATTAATATGTAGAAGTTCGTCTAGATTTATTCGCATTAGAGAATTATAAGGATTGAAGCAATGGAACTATATGCTATTAATAGTGCTTATGAAAAATCTCATAACTTAGTAAATGTTTAAAGTTACTTACTTTTATATTGCTTTGTATATCATTCCTACACATAAATCAATCCTATAAATACCTTTATTATGATAATTACATTTATATTTTAATAAGAAAAAGAAAAAAGATTTTTAAAATCAAAGCATACACAGTAATAGTATTTTTATCTACTGATATTATCGTGTATGCTACTGATATAATAATCGGTCACTTGTTTGTTGACATTTGACTTAGGAGTAAAAAATAATTTTATTTATGTAAATATATTCAAGATATTAAATTTTGATTTGTACTTTTTCTGTCTTATGTCTAGTCTTTAAATAGAATATTTCAAAGAATAAATATGACTATAAACAGAAAATATTGATTTATTATTCATATTTTTCTACTTGAAATGATTCTATATAATTATTATAAATGATTAAGAAATAAATAATTCTTTCAAATAAAAGACCCTATTATAAATAAGACATTAATCATATAAATATCTATAAGGCTTTGTCTATATATATCGAGAATATTTTTAGGTGGAAAAATTAGAACATGATGCTCAACAACAACATGCTGAATTAATGTATTTGAGAGATGATCGACAATCAGCTATTACATTAGCATTACGGCAAAAAGATGACGAAGTATAATATGATCTTAATCTATTTTATATCTAGAAATATTCTTTTATTATTTATATATATAAAGATTTTACGTTTACGTCAACAACATAAATTAGAATTACAAACAATAATCAATGAAATGTCTACAAATACAACTGAAACTCGTGTTAGTGACCTTCTCCGAAAAATTGAATCACAAGATGCAATTATTACTCATTTTAAAGTAAAAATTAAATAAATAAATAAAACAAATCGATTACATTTTGTTGATCTATAGAAAGTAACTGAACATGCTGATGAAAATGCTCGAGAATTAGCAATATTACGTGCTCATGATGAAGAATGTAAATCTACAATTCATCGACTTGAACAAGAATTATCCAGTGCTCGAACTTATCATACACCTGTAAATATTAGAGAGAAGTATAGAATAAGACATAATAAATGTCATTATATTCAGAAAAAAAACCGCTTATTATTAGTTTATTTTAATCTATACGATTATTTGATGTGCACTTTTATATGTCCACATATATGAGTTTCTAGTGTTATATGTTTATTGTTTGATTTGTGCTCGACAATAGTTTAATAAGAGTACCATACAGGTATTCATATGTTTTTCTCGGTAAAAATTAATAATATACGCGTTCTTTGAGCACAAACTATTAGAATAGACTACCTAAATATAGGATCTAACTATAGATTTATGAAGAAAAATATTCAAAAGAATCTATTGTTTTGCTTTCTTTCGGTGTAGCCTAAGAAAAGAACCATAAAAGACTCTGGGTCATTCAGTTTTTTAATAAAAAACTAATGAGTAATTTTGCTATACTTATCATAATATCTCGAATAAAATCCTGTAAAATTGATTAAAGTTCAATAATTAGAATTTTTCGATATTTGTATATATATAGCAAAAACATATTTCTAATATTTATTAGTAATAAAATAGTTAAACTTAAATATAATCTCGTTCTTGTGTTATTTTCTTTAGGAAATGAGACATTTTCAAGAATTACAAAATAAAATCAATCAATTAGAAGAACGTTGGCATAAACGTGAGAAAATAACGAAAGACTATACAACTAGTTTAATAAAACAACATGATTCGGATACAAATAATGATGTTAATAAATTACGTGCTATTATAAAACAAAAAAATCAGGAAATCGAACGATTTCAAATTGAACTTAATTCTATGTTAGAGTTATTAAAAACACTTAAATTTCAACAATTATTATCTAATCATTAGATGAGATCTTCTTCCTTTTTTTTATTTTTGTTTTTAGAGTGCAATGTTTGTTTTATTAAATCTCAAATCTCAATTTAGTTTGTTTTTTGTTTTGTTCTGTATATTTGCAATGTTTCCTTCTATTGAAAAAAGAAACTATAAAACAAATATACAATAAATGTCTTTTATTTCATTTCTATTTAATCCATTATAGAAATCTTCATATTAATGGGAAGAAAAATCTTAATGTAATTTTATATTCTGCATCCCGAGAGAAATGACCTTGAATATTAAACGCCTATATATATATACAACAATTGTTGAAGGAGAAATAAAAGAAAGAAACAAAATATTTCTGTTATGATTTTAGAAAAATTATTCATCTATATGATATTAGTATTATAATCAAATAAAAGGTGTTTGCCATCAAGAGTTTCCTTTTTTTTTCTTTTTTTTTCGTTCTATATTGTCATTGGAATGTGAGATATGTATTTTAAACTTTGAAACACTTCCTGTCTGCAAAAAAAGAGATTATATTTAAGTAAAAATCGAAATATTTACACATAAATATTAATTTTTATAATTAAAAAAAAACATAGAAATTCCAAAGAATAATTTATTATGAATATATGTCAGTAGTATTTAAATATTTTTCTTGTTTTTTTTATTTAGATAAAAAAGAAATAAGCGAGAAAAAAAATATTACAAAAATATGTAAAAGAATGTCATCACAAGGTCATAATACTTGCGTTTTTTCTCAACATCATGTAAGTAATATTGATTTTTCTAGAAAATAATTCATGTTTTCTGCTTTATTCTATCCTAGATTCGTAAGTGATGTATTCTTGATATTCTATACAATGTCTTCGAGAACAACCTAAATATTCAAACAATTAATTCGAAATTTATATTTAATCGATAATTTTGATCTAAATATAATATTGTTAATCAAAGTAATATTTGTTTTCCATTCAAAACGAATAGTGAATAATAAGAATACATATATATATATATATATAAAAGATTTTTAAATGTACGGAACTTGGTCGGTGTTCCGTTTCCGATTTTTAGAACAAAGCAAGATTTTGTTTTTGATTTTATAGAAAAAAAAAGTCGTAGGTTTTTTTTATTCAACAGAATCGGAAATCTTAATTGTGCGACAATATTATTTCCGTATGGTTGAATATTTTTTTTCAAACGCACAAATAGTAACCTTATTCTATCTAGCGAGAACTAACAATAACAAGATGTGAATAACAACGATATATATAATAGTGACATCTGTAGTGAATAATTTGTTTCTGTATTGGTTATTATCTTTTTATGAAGAATTAAAAACATGATTGGATACAGTATGATGAGGAAAGAGAGACAAAGAAGAACAAAGGAGGAGTATAGTGAAAAACAATCATATAGTCCCAAAAAATAAAACAAACATAGAAATAATATAATATAAAAAAAATCAAGAACAAAAAGAAGGTCTTCTTGTTTTTTCTTTTTTTTATTATTGTTTCTTTCGCTTGACTTGTTTTAAGTACTAGTCGGTTTTTTCTTCTTCCCTCTCCCTATATATATATTTTTTATTCAAGTCAACGTATTGACAATCAACGGTGGGAGAAAGAAGAAAAAAAAGAATGACTTTCATTAAAATTAATAAATATATTCTAGTTTATATTTATTTAACTAGATCATTAAAAATAAAATAATCCTATACATTTTTTATCAAGCCACAATCATGTTTTGAAAGATAACTTCAGTTAATTGAGTCACATACTTCGTTTATTATTCTCTGACATTATTTTATTTATATAATTTCTCGTCAATGCTACTATTCATATATATATATATATAGATATATACATATATCCACTTCGGAGCATCATTATAATCAGTGTGATAGGCTCCCGCAGACGTCAGAAGAAAAAGCGGAAGACGAGACAATCACTCGTCGGTCTGATAATAACTGCAACTAGCAAATATAACTTCGTTTTCTATATCTTTCTAAACTCTTGAGAAAGAAATTCTCGTGCCGCGCTTTATTGATGCAGTAATACTGTTAGCAAAACGTTTGCATTCGTGCATCATTCTTCGTTCAAGCTGTCGCACGAACAGCACAAGCCTCAGTCGAGTTTGCATTTTATATATATACATACATACATATATATATATATTGACACAATATGAGTAGCCGCAAAGGAAAAAACCATTAGCAACAAGAACAAAGAAAATTCGAAAGCAAATGTGTCAGTACACATTTACTTGTTGTAATAGCAAATTTGTACTGTACTATCAATACAAATGAGAAATATTATCATAAATTATCATTTAAAAGATCTGTATTTTCGTTTTTGGTTTAAGGCAAAGTAGATCAGACAAAAAAAACTTTGATCAATGTAGTTGTTGTTTTATAATAACATAACAACCTTTGATCTTGTTAAATTCATTTGTCATCATTTTGATATGACTGCTTTTACTAATGATCGTGATCACAACTGACTTTTTTCCTTTCTCTCTCTCCCTCTTCCTCTCTTTCCTTCTGTCTTCTTCCTTATTCTCTTTGTTTGTTTGTCGAGTCTTTTGGCTCATCATCTCATCTTCTACTCATTCATTCATTTATTCGTTCGTTCTTTCTTTCCTTTTTTTCTCCATAGACATGTCTTCTTCTTCTCCTTCTTCTTCTCCTTTTTTTCCTTTCTATTTGCTTTAGAGGATCGTTCTATAACTTCCTTGTGCTATGCTTGCACTCCCTCCCTTTTTTTTCAACCATCACGTCGGTCGACCCATTTAACAGAACATGTAGACACGCGATGAACGCCGTCGCGAATGTGCATACACATAAGAACTTCACATATATATATGTTGGGAACACAACATAACATTTTCATTCTACACCTTTGAATGAAATAAGCCAAATACGTGAAAAAAAAGACTATTTTAACATGTTCATTCTGATTTTATGACAAAGGTGAGAATATATATACTTATGAATTTCTTTATTCTTCTAGATAAAATCATGACAATAGCAAGAAAACGATGACGATGCTTAGTATTGGTCAGATAAGTCAAGCATATTCGTTTTGTCTTCGTTGAAAAACAAAAATTTCAAATATTTAATATATCAAAAAAAACAAAAAACCATGTTCAAGTGTTTTCCATTACCATTTTGTAGTCGAAATTTAGAACAAATCGATAAACGTCATTGTAATTTAACAACAGTACCAGATGATGTTCTTCGTTATACTCGTACATTAGAAGACTTATTGCTTGATGCCAATCAACTTCAAGATTTGCCTAAGGTTATTAGAAAAAAACATAAAATATTTATTATTATTCTCTTTTTTCTTCTCATTATATCTTAGGGCGTTTATCGTTTAACACAATTACGTCGTTTAACATTTAGTGATAATGAAATTCAACGTATTTTACCTGAAATCGGACAATTAGTTAATCTCGAAGAACTTGATTGTTCAAGAAATGGTAGTTATATGTATATTTTTCTTTGAAATATAACTTTGATTTTGTTTTATTAAGACATTGCCGAAATTCCGGATAATATCCGACACTGTCGATCATTACAAAAACTTGATTTTAGTGGAAATCCATTAGCCAATAAGTAAATAACTATATATATATACATACAGAGTGTCATAAAAGTCATAATCATTTAAAAAACAATGCGTCTCATTTCATTATTGATAGGACGTCAGTCAAACCAATTTTTTTTGTTTGAAAGAAAAAAAAAGCAGCAAGTTTTTATTTGTACAGATCAAATTTCTGTAAATTAAAAGAGAGACAATAGTTGTGGCTATCATATAAAAAACACTAGGTACTTCTTCGTATTAGGTATCATATGTCATTGTTTTTTCAAAATTGACTTAATTTTCTATTCTTACTATTGTTCTGAAGTGATTCATTTGACATATTTTTTTTACGAGTATCAAGCTATTAGTGCGTGTCCTTGGAGTAGATCGTTCATAAATCATAGAAAAACTTCAACAATTGTAAACATAATTATATTAGACTATGTTATAACTCGTCTGTCATTCTAACTGAATATCTTGTCTTCTTTCTATATGAATATATATCAGATGAAGTGTTTCAAGGAATTTTTCTTGCAACTATTGTTTTGCGTTCGTACAAATAAAAAGATTTTGATTGAAATCCAACTAATAATGGAATTTTTAAAGTGATCATGACTTCTCTAACATGCTATATGTAAATAATTTATTCATATTTTAGTCTTCCATCTGGTATAATTCATCTTCGTCAATTAAGTCAGTTAATATTAAATGATGTTTCCCTTGCCGAATTACCCAAAGAAATTGGCAGGTAAAATAAAATTTGATACATAACAACAAAAAAAAAACAACAATTTAATACATGATTTTCTTTTTCTTATTTAGTCTTTCGAATTTACGTGTTCTTGAAATGCGAGAAAATTTGCTCAAAATCTTGCCAGATTCACTTGTACAATTAACAAAACTTGAATCACTTGATTTAGGTTCAAATGCCATTGAACAACTTCCAAATCATATTGGATATTTACAATCATTAAAAGAATTATGGCTTGATTCAAATGAATTAATTGAATTACCCAATGATATTGGACAATTAAAAAATTTACAATGTTTAGATGTATCAGAAAATAAATTAACTTATTTACCAAATGAAATTGGTGATTTAGAATCTTTAACAAATTTTGAATTATCATCAAATCAAGTTGAAGAAATACCAATTACAATTGGTAAACTTAAACAACGTTTATTAATATTAAAAATAAATTCGAACAGTTTAAATAAATTATGTGAAGAAATTGGATATTGTTTAGCATTAACTGAATTAATTTTAACTGAAAATACATTAAATGAACTTCCGAAAACAATTGGGAATTTAAAACATTTATCAAATTTAAATGTTGATAGAAATCAATTAACATATTTACCTACTGAAGTAAATATTCTTCTATTTCTTCTTCTTCTTCTTCTTATTATTATTTTCATTTAGATTTCGGGATGCGAATCATTAGGTTTACTTAGTTTACGTGATAATCGTTTAACACAAATTCCATCTGAATTATCAAAATTAAAACATTTACATGTACTTGATTTATCAGGAAATCGTTTATTAAATTTGCCATGTACACTACTTGATTGTGATTTAAAAGCAATATGGTTAGCTGAAAATCAAGCACAACCAATGTTAAAATTTGCTACAGATATTGATTCAAATACAGGAGAAAAAGTGATTACATGTTATTTACTTCCTCAACAACAATATACAACATCATCTATGGGTAAGCTTTTTTTTTGATATTTAATTAGGTTTGTTCTTTTTTGAGATAAATAGTTTTAACCTTTTACTTTTTTTTAAAAAAAAAATTTAATCCACTTTTTGTATTTTGTTCTTTTTGAATTATAAGTTGTAAAGAATCATGTTCTTACGTCTACATCGTCGTCCTTTATATATTTATTTCATCGATAATGAAGATTATGATGAAACAGATCAGGGTAAACAATATAATTATCATTTTGGGGAAATTATTATTATTAGATATATATTATTTATTAAATTTTATATATATATATATGCTTTTTTTAACTTTCTATTATAATTTATTTAGAAAATCTTCTCAATACTTCAAAATGTCAAAATGTAAATGGTGAAGTACCAATATCACGTCAAATAATTCACTCACCACACATTCAAGACGAAGATTTAATTAGTGATGATCGACATGAACGTACTGGTTCAGTTAAATTTGCTGATGAAGCTGAAGAATTAAAAGAAGTATTTTATTAGTTTTATATTTAATAGAAATAAAATCTTTTCTTTCTTCATAATAATAGAGTTCATTACAACGACATAATACTCCTCATCCAAAAGATTTACGAACATGGAGATATAAAATGGCAAAAAAACTTCATACTGATGGTAATATACTTCATCATGATCATCAACATCCTTATCAACCAAATGCGCATACACATAGTGATTCATCACATCCATCAATTTCTTCCGGAACATCACTATCACAAACTAATCGACCTACAAAAGGTAAATTATTTTCCATATATGTATATATTTAAATCTTTATTTCAATAGATTCAGCAGGAGTCGTACATGATTCAATTGATTATATTCCACCTGAAATATCTCTCGTTGATCGTCAAAATTCTGATGTATAAATTATATATATTTTTATATTAAAACAAAAGTCTATCGAATATTTGTTTTTTTTGTAGAATGAAGATGATGAAAATTCCGGTGAACATATGGGATATATTGAAAAGCATGTTGAATTTACAGATGATTATAATAACAATGATTATAGTAAAGAATCACAGATGCAACAAAAACTTCATCGACGTGATACACCACATCATTTAAAAAATAAACGTATTATTACTCAAAATAATGATTCAATGACATTAAATGTAAAGTTTTTATCTATGAAGCAAAACAATGAAATAATTTTTATTTTTCTCTTTAGAAAATTATGTCAAACAGTCCAACGAAATCATCAATAACAAGTGGAAGAAATGATGTAAATATTTCAAGATATTTGTTTAACAGAAAAAAAGGAAACTATTTTGATTGTTTTTTTTCAGTCAATATCACCATCATTACCAAGTAATAATCGACCAATAACAGTTCATTATGAACAAATAACATTTAATATTCATCGAACATCAAATACTGGTCTTGGTATTAGCATTGCTGGTGGAATGGGTTCATCACCTTACAAAGATAATGATCATGTAAGGTTAAAAGAAAATTTTTACCATTTTAAATTGGATAAAATCTGGAATAAACAAATATTTTCGAGATTTGATGATTGATTAGTTTGTTTTCGAGATTATTTTATTATTGAAGTATTACTTAAGTGAGATAGGCATTTTATTTAAGAGAAGCTCTTCACTAAATTATTTACATTTCTAAGTCTACATTGGTATTGATAGGATTTCTTAATAATAATCATCAGGATTCATATAGATTCTATTTACACTGAGATATTGTAATTCTATTTAATTTATTTCATGATAAAAACTCATCAATAAATAATAAATCTCTAATGATACATTTCCTTAGCTTATCGGAAATATTTATTTCAATTATAATTTTCTAAATATAAAACTAATTAACTTTTTTAATTTCCAGGGTATATTTTTAACTAAAGTTACTGAAGAAGGTCCAGCAGGTCAAGCTGGTTTACTTGTTGGTGATAAACTTCTAACAGTAAATGGTATATCATTAATAAATAGTGAACATAGTGAAGCTGTAAATGCTTTAAAAAAAGCCGGTGATCATTTTGAAATAATTATTGTACGTGAAATTTTACAAGCTTCGAATGATTATTTAACAAATGATGAAAATTCTTCCACAATGAATCAACATGATGAACAATTAAGTTTTTCAATTCCAAATGAAAATCAAACAATAACAACAAATGGTAATGATAATGTACATCGTTCAAAATCTATTGATCAAAATTCTTTAATTTCTAATGATCATCATTTATCAATAAATGGTCATGATCAAACTATTGATATGATTAATAATGAAAAAAATACTATTGATTCAACAGTTAATCATGAAAAACTATCAAATGGAAATGAAAATTCTTTGTCAACAAATATTGATAATATGATTGAGGTTTGTTCAATAAAATCATTTAAGTGAAAAACAAAACGTAGAATGTTTTTTTTCGAATTGTAGGAAGCACGTGTAGCTAAAGGTAATGGTCCAATGGGTCTAAGTATTGTTGGTGGTATTGATCAAGCATGTCCACCGTTTGGCATGGATCAACGTGGTGTATTTGTATCAAAAGTAAGTTTTGAAAAAACAGAATAAATAAAAGAATCTATATATATAAATATAAATAGATTCTTCCAAGTGGTTCAGCTTCTCGAACAAATCTTCGTATTGGTGATCGAATATTAAAAGTAAATAATCAGGATATAACACAAGCAACACATTTAGAAGCTGTTCAAGCACTTTTACAACCAACAAGTGAAGTTGTTTTACTTGTTCGTCATGAACCTCAACCGATTGGATTAAAAGTAAAATTCGAATAAAATCAAAACAAAAAATAATTCTTTATTTTTTATTTAGGAAGTTATATTAAAAAGACAATCCAGTGAAGCACTTGGTATTCGAATAAATGGTGGTGTTGATGGTAAACATGTTCATCCAGATGATCCAGAAGATGATGGAATATTTGTTACTGAAGTTTGTTGTTTAAAAAAAAACATTTTATTTTTTCAATTGAAAATTTCTTAGGTTAAAGATAATAGTCCAGCATCAGGAATTTTAACAATTGGTAATCGAATTCTCGAGGTAAGTTAGAGAAGAAATTCTTTAGTATATCCACCTCACGTTCTAAAAAACCACCACTGCCATGGTTGCCATGTTTTGCCTCATTCGTTACGTGTATATATCTATGTAGTTATGTCATTTATTATTTATTTTGCAAAAAATATAATAAAAGTAAGTATTATCTTATAATCATATGGTTATTAATCAATTGATTTATTTGATTGCTCACCAAAAAAAAAATCTTTTATTTGTCAATGCTGCTAATGCTTCATGTATATTCGTCCATACGCTTAACACTACCCAATATTGACGTGTGTTCAAGAATATCGATTATTCTAGGCCGTGAATTGTTCTTGTTCGAAACGGTGGTTTTGTTTATCACATAAATCACCATCATCATCATCATCAACAATTCATAGTCCATTATCATCGATTTCATCATCAATTGATCAATGTTTTATAAGAGATTATTGTGAAACAAGTATAGATGATATTGTAAATTTAAAAGGTATATTAACATTTGAAAAATTATCATCATTTCATATTAAACGTACACGATCAAATGGATATATAAGAAAAAAACAACATTTAAAAAAATATCAACAACGAAGAACAAAATCATGTTGTTTATCAGCTTTATTTCAATCAACGAAAAAAAATTTTTATGACAAAAAGAAAGATTTAACATGTACACAACAAATTTTAGCACCTATTGTTACATTAAAAGATTTAATATCAAGTTCATTTTCATTATCATCATCAGCTTCTCTATCAAGTGATGATAAAGCAATATCGCCACTTTCCGACACAATTCTATCTCCAACAATAAAGAATGATACTCCATCATTTTCGTGTAAATCATTGTCATTTGATCCATCTTTATCAATAATATCAACACCAAAATCTTTACTCGTTCATTCCTATACATCATTATCAAATTATCGTATAAAAACTAATATAACAAAACGTCAATATTCTCTTGAAGAACAAATTCATAATGAAGAATGTACTTATTGTGCACACGAAAATGCTTTACCATTAAAATTTGATTCCAATAGTAATAATAATAACAATAATAATAATAATTTCGAAAAAATATCACTTCAATCATTTAATCTTATACATGCCGTTGAAATGTATTTATCATCAAATAATACTTCACATGATTTATTTGATATATCATCATTATCATCTGAACAACATGCTACAATTCAAGAAACAAAACAATTAAATTTATGTGAAATTAATGAAATTATTTATGCAATTCATTCTGATATTGACAATAATAATGAACGAAATGAAATACTTGATTCACTTGCATCATCATTACGACAAGTTGCTGAAGAAACACCTATTATACCTTCAGATGAACAAATCTTACCTATTAATAATATACCTGAACCACCACAACCTCCAGGACTTGGTCAGATTTTAGCACGAGCTGTTATGTATGATATCGTCATGAAATTATTTAGTTTTTATTTACTTTTACTTATGTCATATGGAAATTTATTTTAAAAAACAAACAAACATATTTCCTATTTGTATTTCTTTATAACACATATATATTGTAACGAATGAGGCAAAATATATATATTTATATATTAATGAATAGAATTTAGTCTAGTTTCTTTTTTCTTTTTGCTATTGTGTTTTTTATTATTAATCTAGGTTAATAATCAAAGTTTATTTGGTGCTCGTTTGGATGATGCTCAAAAATGGCTTAGTGCACCAAATGAAAGTATTCATCTACTTATTTGTTATGGATTTAAACCGAAAGAAGTAAAATAGATTTTTGTTTAATTTCTTTGCAAAATCTTCTTTTATTTATTAGATTACTTCTGTAAGTAGTTCAACTTATAGTTTAACAAAAAAATCGAAAACAAATGATCCAATATCACCATCTGTTCTTACACGACCACTATTAACACAACAACCAATATCACCAATACCATCCATAAAACCGAATGGAATTTCAAATCCATCATTATCTCCAAAAGTAATTCATCCTCATTGTATATCTTAAAATACATTCATATTTATTTTATTAGTCTTCACAACCGCCACCAGTTCCAGCGAAACCAAAACTTCGTTCACCAAATAATCAATCGATACCAATCAATGGAGATAATCAAACCGCCGCAACAATAAATCATTCATTTCCTACACGAATTCCAGCACATAATGGTTTTGATATTGATGAAGTAGATATCCTATTAGGAAAAAAAAACATTTTTATGAAAATTTTATTTATTTTATTTAGTCTGATATATCTGTAACAGAATCAGAACGATCATTTAAAGATAAGAAAAAATTTTTTGAAAGTGGTTTTAAAGATCCTGGACCAAGACCTAAACGTATATTTAAAAAAATAGATTTTTTTTATTAATAAAACATTTTCTTGTTGTTTTGATTTAGCTCGTCAGTTTAAATATATCAATGAACATGAATTATTACAAATGAAAAAAGAAGATGGTATAAAAACAGAAAAAAAGAATGAATCGAGTTTTATAATTTTTATTTTAGAACAAAAAGTTAAATCTATGAGTCCAACTGAATTACTTCAATCTCGAACAATGTATGATAATGATAAAAATGATCCTGAATTCATGCAAACAACATTGTCTCAATATCATACACCAACTTATCTTGCTAAGTAAGAAATTTTTATCAATTATTTCTTTTTGTTACTTTTAAATATAAATATATCTATATTATTTCTATTGATTAATTTCAAAACTTAGACGGGATTCATCATGGGGAAAACGTGTGCGAAGTGTTTCGCTCGCGAAATATTCCCATTATTTGTGAGTGCCACAAAAGCATTGATAATAAATAATACGGGCGCATAAAAAATTTTTTTTTGTCTTATTTGTTGAATATTGAATTAAAATTTCTTTTTATTTAGACCAGAAGAAGATGATGATGATATTGTTCCACAACGACAATCACGAAATATTTCTTCTAGTACAAGGTAATAAAACACAAAAAAAAACAGAATTTTTGCATGATATGTAATGCTTATATGTATATAATAGAGTAACCTCGCTCGAACGTAATACCGCTTCTGCTCGTACTATGCTTTCGAAAATTGCTATTGGTAATAAGATTCAATGTATTTAAAAACAAAAATCGAATTTTCTTTTCTTTTCTATTTTAGAATCCGGTATGACTTAACTAATAGTGATTTAGTATAAATCATTATCAAATAAACTTTTCATATATATATTATATTTATGCAAACTGCTCTTTGTATATTGTACATATATAGACTTTGTCCTCTTGCGCTTTTGTTTTTGTTTAAAAAAAAATGTAATTAAAGTCATCATGTCTTATTAAATAATATAATTAATATTGTTGTTGTTGTGCTTTTTCTCTTCCTTTTCTTCTTTTCTTTTTTTTTATTATTATTTGTTCTTAAAACTCGCATTCAGTTTTTTTTTCTTCTGCTCGTTTTTTTTTTGTTCTTTTTTCTTAAAGTAAATATAATGCGAATTCATTTATACTTGTTTTTCTATTTCTATAGCAACTAAAAGTAAAGTATGTTGCTATATGATCTTCAGACATATATTCTTTTTCTTTTCTTTTTTGCTCTTTGCTAATGGTTAAAAGTAAAGAATTGAAAAAAGAAAGAAGGAGAAAGAAAGAAGGCTAGTTAGTTACTGTCAACGACATTCGACGGTATTGTAGTCAGTTGAGCTATACAGTTAAACTACTTTTTTTGCTGCTCGTTTTATTACAAATAAAATATGGCATCCCAAAATGAAGTTGATGATATGATTAAACGTGTACAAACATCTAAAGGTGTTCAAGGTAAGACGATTAATTATAGACTCTTTTATTCAACAAAAAGAATTGAATAGACTTATGATTTATATTGTTTGCTTTTTTTCTTACCGGAAAGGTTTAATTATAATCGACTCAGAAGGAATACCTATTCGAACAAGCATGGATAATGATACAACATTGCATTATGCTGCTTTAATAAGTCAATTGATTGTCCATGCTAAACGTGTTGTCAGAGAAATCGATTCAAGTCAAGAACTAGAACAACTTCGTAAGAACGAATATACAATTCGATTTAAATTCTAGTTTGAAATTTTTTATTTTATTTTAGGCCTTCGTTCATACAAACATGAAATTATCGTTGCACCAGAGAGTAAATACATTATGATTGTAATTCAAGTACCCGAAGCTGTTTAAATAAAATAAACTTCTTTGTGTTTTTATTAATTAAATATATTTTTAAAAAATTCTTACTGGTGTTACATTTCACCTGTGAAGAATAAAAAGAATATCAAGTATTGTTTTCGTTTTTCTTCTTTTTTTTTGAAAAGGAAAATAATCGTGGTGTATTAAAGATAAAGACAGGCAGATACATTGTGAGAATGAAAATAATAATAATAATGTAAATTCAATATAATGGGAACCAGCTCATATATTAACTAATCATTATTACTATTAGCATTACTCCTACTGCTAACGAACAAGAAAAACTGTGCAAAAAAAAACTTCGATTCAAACAGTCGTTCAACGAACTGTACAGACAAGGAAGATAGAGAAAAACTGGGCGAAAAAAAAATAGAAGACTAAAATCAGTTTTTTAAGCAAAAAAGCTTAACGTTGTAAAAGTTGGAGTAAATAGACAGAATTGTTGGTTATTGTTTATACCAAATATATCATTAACATCATCAATTGAAGGAAAATCCTGAATTAATTTAATTTTATCGTCATGAAATAAGTCATCCGGATTTGGAAACAGTTCATCTTTATAATCAAGTTCTTGTATTGGTGATGCCGATAATGATGATGATATTGATGATGATGATATAAAACTATCCAAGAAAATTGTTTGTGATTCGTTTAAATCATTAATTATTTGAGGAGTATATGGAGCTTGATCAATAACACTCATTGGCTCACTTTTAATAGTTTGAGGATTCATACGTCGTCGTTTTCGTCGTTGAGGTATAGTAACAGCCGGGCAGACTGATGGAATATTATTTAAGTTTAAACATTGCTCATTATTATTTGCTATAAAAAATAAATAAATATATGAAAATTACAAAAAAAATTTAAAAATCAAATTTTTTACATAATAAAATATTTGTTGTTCCTGATGTATTTAAATTCGACACATACATTGATCCTGGTTGTGTAGTATGTTTTAATCTTTCAAGATTTTGTTTATTTGCATATAAAGCACATTGATGTTGAATTGATGGGCTAATAAAATATTTGTTTTTTAGTTTTTGAAAGTATAAAATTATAATCTTACTCAATTAGTTGTGCTAAAAATCCAAGTTTAACAACTTTACGTCGACCTTCGATTAACATATGAGTATTACAAAGAAAACTAAGCCGATCACCATTACGTGTATATAAATCAAATACATTCATTGTTGTATAATGTTGGCCTAAGACTGATAAAAAAAATTAAATTAAAACTATTTTATTTTATTAAATCTTACTGCAATTTTGTCGTGCTTGTTCTAATGCATTTAAATTTTCCGTAGCCATAAAACGTTTAATTGATTGATCAATGAGTTCTCCTGCCTCATAACCCAATAGTGCTTCAGTACTAAATAGAAACATAAATAATAAGAGAGGAAATGGAAAAAACTTAAGAGAACTTACTTCGATGATATTTCACTAATGTGTAATTGATCATTAAGTACAAAACGAAGTATTGTTGGGCTTGTTAAACCAAGACTATTTGTTGGAATATTTGGTGTACTTGAAAGAATATGTTCGCATCGAGCAATAAATAATGGTTCTTGTTGCTCTGTATTCTCCTCATGATTAATAAAAAAGAAATGACCCGTCATTAACATTGACTAAAAATAAAACATTTTTTTTTTTATTTTGAATTTTCTTTTTAAAAGTAACATACTCTTGATTCAGTATGAGTTCGACTTGGTCGTTTTCCACGTGGTAAATTCCAAGTACAGAGAACATGTTGTTCCATATTAGTTGGGTTTGAAAGAAGTTGATGAATTGGTTCATGATCATCGCTACTTACACATTCGTATATACTTGTCAATTGAGGATAGAGAGAACGCTATTAAAAAAGCAAAACTATTTTTTTGTTTTTCTTTTATAATTAATTATACATACAACATTTTTACGTAAATAATGTTCAACATTATCACTCAATAAGATTATTCGACCTTGTGTATTAAGTACAATAATAAAACCATTGAGATCATTAGCTGTAGATGTACTATCAATATTAGCTGCATATTGAACATTTTCTAAATAATTTATTATTATTAAAAAGTTTGTTTTTTTATTTTCGAAAAAAAACAAACGTTAAACTTACTATTAGATAAATTCGAAGGCCAATATTTATGTCGAAGTAGACGAGCCAATGTTAAACTAAGTACGTCATTTTTATTTAGTTTATTGTCAACATCATCGACAATAGGATCTTTAACAAGATGACCTAATGCTTCCAGAGCTTGATTGGTTTGTTGACGTCGTTTATATGGTGTACTATTACATTCATTTGTAGAATTAACACCAATATTAGGTGTCAATAATGAACGCTATAATAATATATATTCATCAATAAATAATATTCATATTAATTTAACTTACAACGATATTATTTTGTTGAGACATGTGCTCGGCACAAAAGTCGTTCAACGACAAGAAAAAATTTGTCTTCGAAACTGTCCAGCAGTTGAAGAGAACGAGAAAAACGAACGAACTAGCGTTTATAGAATATATGCGCGCACTGCAGCAATGCAAAAATAAGAAAATGATGAGAGTCGAAGGTTGCTGTATTTACATTATATTTTTCTTTTTCTTTTTTTTCTCTTCGTATTTCTATATTTTTCTCTATATTTTAGTTACTCTCTCTCTCTGTCTCTTATAATTTTCTTTTTCTCTTTTATTTGCCGTCAATACTTGCGCGAGATTTTTAATTCGTCATTATTTTTTACAGGTAAAAGCCTGTAGAAAATATGAGATGATTTGATTTATACGTAAAATGACGTCGACCACCTACCCTCCCTTTTATCGATATTTCGTTGCATGTCCTTTTTTTTTCTCTATTTGCTTATATTTGCGTACTGTATATTGATGAAACAAATATAAAATATTACGAAAACAAAAAGTATATAATAACTAATCAAATATTAGTATCATTTGAGTCATTGATCTAGATGACTCATGACATACGAATATAAGAAAAAGAAATCCTGACTTAGTCAGATGCTTCTCTATTTTTAAAATAAGTTAAGTCGAACCACCCAATTATATCGTCATTTATTTCGAAATTATTTTCAAAAAAAAAAAACGAATTGTCAACGAATATATATTTCATAATATAATTTATATTGACAGCAATTTAGTTTCATTTGTAAAATTGTATTATTCATTTCCTATAAAAAAAATCTATGAAATAAGGCATATATAGAAGTAATAGCTAATATGAAATACATCTATAAATAATTTATTATTAAACATTTTTTTTCCTGAAAATATTGACATTATCAATAACTTAATGAATTCTTGAATATATTTCAAATAGTAAATGATATAATGTAGTTGTTGAAATCTAAATTTTTATTCATCATCATATTCTATTCAAATATAGACAACGAATACATATAATTTTATTCTGTATTAAAGAATCTCTTGTTGTACTTGTTTTTATTTGCAAAGAAACTCAAGTGCAGACAATCAATCTTGTTACTTTCCGCTTCAGACTGAAATTGTTTCCGATACAAAAATCTTATTATAGTATGACATATGTCGGGATATTTTTGATTTCAATTTTTTTTGTTCATAATCATCAATCATAAAAAACAAAAAAAAACGATTTCCTTTTTTTACAGCTCATATATTTGGTACTTATAATACATGTTTACTAGATTAAAATACAAAAAAAAAGGCAAATAATCAAAGCTAAAGGTCTAAAATAATCCATTGCTTGGTTAAAATATAAAGAAAAAAAATACTTCAGTTCGATTAAGAACATTGCACAACAAAAAAATGAATTCAATGTTATTCTTCTTTTTTGTGAGTTCTTAATTCATAGTTATATTTATACATGAAGAATAGTGTATTGTGACCCGACGGAGGGAAACGGAGGTGATGTTTACTAGAACAAATAATAAAAATAATTATATACATATATAAAGCAAATAAAAACATACTTGTTTTTTTGGTAAATCAACATTCAGTTTTGTTGCTAATTGTTTACCGAAATCATCATCAACATTTGCTAAAACAGCAACTGAACGATAGATTATATCTTTATCGGTACATTGTTGTAAATGTTCAACGATGTTTTGTATTAAATGTGCACGGCCACGATCATCCAATACTTTCTAAAAAAACACAAACAAATGAATTCAAATTGTCTTTAATCAAAACATTTCATTTGATTTGTTCTATGAAATAACTAATGTGTAGAACATTTGGACTTTCAACTTTTGTTATGTTTGACATTTAAATATGATAGAAACAAAGTATTGGTACTTGAGACAAACATAAAAAGCCTGATAAACTACCAAGATTTATCCTATAGAAAGTCTTTGAATTCAAATCTGAACGGAGACTTATTATAATTGATAATTATTCTGTAAATAGATATTTTTTTCTATTCGTTTATTCTGATTAGAATCAAGCTTTTATTTATTACTACAGTTCGCTAGACATAAGGAATTCTGGATCTTTGTCGATAAGCTTTTTATCAATTGGCAAAATTCTAGTAACCCCATCTATTAGATTTTATTCTAATTGAAAACTTCTATTGTTCTTACTTGATAAAAGATTCTTGGTTGTGAAAAATTATCATCACCACCAGCTTCATGTCTTGCAGCCATACCCGATTCAAATGTTGCATGTTCGAGATGTCTTTCACGATTTGTTACATCAGGTCCATGCATTGAATTTTTATAATAATTTGGACGTCCACCTTAAAAAAATAAAATTTTATATTTATTCATTTGAATAAAATCTTACCGTGATTATCTGACACTTGCATTTGTCCATCACGTTGATAGGTACAAACTTTAACATTTTTATTAGTTTCAGGTTGATTAACTGGTATATGAAGATAATTTGTTCCAAGACGATGAAGGTGTGTATCACCGTATGAAAAAAGACGACCCTAAAAATTAAATATAAACATAATAAAACAAAATACGGATATTTCTTACTTGTAACATTTTATCTGGTGATGCTTCAATACCAGGTGGCATATGTGAAGGTGAAAAAGCAGCTTGTTCAATTTGTGCAAAATAATTTTCGTGATTTTCATTTAATGTCATTTTACCAACACGACGTAATGGAAATTCTTTTTGTGAAATAACTTTTGTTAAATCAAATGGATTGAAATCTAATTTTTGTGCTTGTTCATGAGTCATAACCTAATCACAAAAAAAAAAGTTATAAATTTAAAAAAAAGCAAAAGAATTCTTCTTCCGTACTTGAATATAAAGTGTCCAACTTGGATAATCTTTTTTTGCAATTGCATTATAAAGATCAGCAAGAGCATAATCTGGTTGTTCACCAGCTAAAATTTTGGATTTAGTTGGTTCAATATTTTTAATACCTTGATCACACTAGATAATCATTAGAAAAATAAGAAATTAATTAATCAATGAATTAAATAAATAAATTACTCGAAAATGAAATTTAACCCAAACAAATTCATCTTTATCATTAACCATTTTGAATGTATGTGAACCATAACCATGCATATGACGGAAACCATCAGGTACACCACGATCAGAATAAAGAAAAAGAAACTAATAAATAAAAAAAATTCATTTCTTTGTTTTAAATAATAAATATTTCGTCTATTACTTGATGTGTTGCTTGTGGGTGATTTGCAAAAAAATCCCAAACCATATTTGGATCTTTTAAATGTGTTTGAGGATTACGTTTTTGTGAATGAATAAACATTTGAAACTTTAGAAAAAAAATTATAAGTTTTAATAAATAAATATATACATATATATACATACTAAAAATGGATCACGAACAAAAAATATTGGAGTATTATTTGCAACTAAATCCCAGATACCTAATATAAATAAAAATTATTTTATTTGTCTTGTTGAAAAAAGAAATATATCAAACCTTCATCTGTATACATTTTAATTGCAAAACCACGTGGATCACGTACTGTATCAGCTGAACCACTTTCACCGGCTAGAATGAAATAATTGAGTATATTTTAGATCATATTATGGTTATTACATACCAACTGTAGAGAAGCGTGCTAAAACACGTGTTTTTGTGCCCCGTTTGAATACTTGAGCTTTGCAAATATCTGATATGTCATCTGTTGCTTCAAATACACCGAAAGCACCACCACTAAAAATACAAAGATTTGTTTTTTTGTTGATTATTATTATTATTTTTAAAAACAATAATTTACCCTTTTGCATGAACAACACGTTCTGGAATTCGTTCGCGATCGAAACGTTGTGTGTCTTCAATGTAAGGAAAATCTGAAAGTAATAAGGGTCCTCGAGGGCCAACTGTTATTACAGTAGATCGTTCGCCAAGTGGACGACCATAACCAGTTGTTAATTGTTCAGTTTTCTATAATCAAAAATAAATATTTATTTCTAAACAATAATAAATCTTACATGTGATTTTTTAAAATCAATTAATTGATTATCCGATGGACCTGGTTCTTTTAATTCTGGTTTTTTAGTATTAGCCATAATTATAAATCGATGAAAAAATGAAATCTAAAATAGATTGTGTTAAGAAATAACATCGCATTTATACCGCGTTCTGATTATATAATCAATGTCATTGGGTACGATATATTTCTTTTATTCTCTTCGTTACTTAGACTATTAGAAATAGGCGAGAAGCATCAAGAACAGTACGAAAGGATCGAGAAAAATTCAAACTGATCATTATAGAAAATAACAGTAATATGCATATCTCACATCTACTGCTGTCTTGTTGTTTTTCTTCTTTTTTGTAATCCTTACATAGACGCTGTTGCCGTTATCGTCCTTCGTGCAGCATATGTGAATAGACGAAGTATTTATATACTTTGCTATTCTCCCTCGATTTTGATCACAAAAGACGACACGTGACTTGTACAAAAATATTGATTTAACACACCACTTTTCTCTATACCTGAATAAATGAATGCAAAAAAACAGACAATTCTATCAAACAGATTCAATATGATAATGTATTCTCTAAATTAAAATCGTATGAAATAATGCACTCATTGACATTGAAAATGTGATATAACATATTTTTGTATAAACGTTTTGAACTTTGTCTTTATCATTAACCTTCGTGACCTGTGTCTTTTTCCTTTTAATTTACTCGTGTAAGTATAGCTTGATTGGGAGAGATCTATCGACAGAAGAGGACGCTCATCATCGGCTCATGTTTGATTAGATACTCTCCTCAACTCTTCAATTAAGTACTGTTATTGAACGAAGATGTAAAAAGATGTTTATTAAAAGATATTATTCTAATAAGTTCACTCAGTCAACATATAGAAACCCAATATCATATTAGTTTTATTTCTCAAACTAAAAAGTACATGTTCAAAACAGTCAATCGGTTCGATATTTCTCTTCGCGTATCTACATGTATTATCTTTTAGATAATAACTAACTATTAATATAAACCTTTTTATACAGATAACAAACTCAAGTGTATTCATATATAGATATAGATAAATATCTTCTACTCGAATGAAAAAAAAATAACATGTTTTTATTAGAGACATAACAGCATATATGACACAGGTCTTTATAATAGAACAATCCCATTTATTTATTATTAGTAGAATACAGTCTTATATTCTACATTATGAATAATTACTGACAATACACATTACTGATCTTCAATTACTGATATCAATGACAATTTCTTTTTTTGTGATAGACAAGATATTTTTTTGAAACAAAAAATTTTAACATGAAGAAAATCGGAATTTTGAATCAGTTGTACCAATCATATCATTAGAACAAAATGTACGACTAAAATAAAGTAACGATATTCTGTTTTTTCTATAATGAATATAATTTACCTATTTTGATTATCACCATTAAGTACAATAGCTTTAGTAAATGCCCATGATGATGAATATAATAAAGTTGTAACTAAACTAGCTTTTTTCTTGAAATCAACTTCAATTTGTTTCACTTCACCAATATCAACAGTAAGTGGAATAAAACGAGTTTCAGTTGAATCACGTTTAAATGTTGTATCTCCACTAAATAATTCGTTTACATGTATAAATAGATAAAAATGTCTATTCATTTACATACTTATCAAAAACAACAGAAATTGTTTGAAGAGTACCAATAAGTTTCAATGTTACAACACCTCGTGTTTGTGTATACGCTGAGCCCGATTGAAGAGTAACTTGAAAATGATTGACTAGAATACACAATAAATATAATTTTATATAATATAAGACGAGAAAAGGTGAAAATTTACCACAAAATGGAAAAGCATTAGCATCTTGTGTTTTTAAATAAAGATCTCCTTTAGCATCAGTTGATGTTGCCCAATAACCCATACGATTACATTTTTTATTACCGTCACATTGTAATGAACATTTACCCGAATCAAATTCATCGAAATTCGAACATGAAAAACCTACATATGGACATTGATTACGAATTGTATCTGTATAGAAATAAACAGCAGCCATATGACTACATAATGATGTCATCATAAAACCTAGATATTAATGAATTATATTAATAAGATTATTACATTTAGAGAAATACCTTCAACATTCATTGTTCCAAGTTGAAGAATAAGATTTATGATTTTGCCTGATGTTGCTGAACATTTAGGTTGATTATAACCACCATTAGGAAAAAAATCAACATGACCCATTCGTTGAAGAGTACCTGGAAAAAAAAGAATATGTAACTGAAAAGATTAGACGTATATGAAATACCTAGTCCAAGAAGAAGATTATGAGTACCATCTGTATGAATAACATCGACAAATAAAGCATCAGTAGGATCAAGACGAACTGATGGATCAGTATTTTCAAAATAAGGACCAGCAGGATCCAAGCCTATAAAATCAAATCAATGTGTAAGAATAAATAAACAAATATTTTCAATTACCTGAAATTCGACTAAGTCCAGGAAGATTTTTTCCAACATAACCTGCAACATGGCTACCAAGAGAATGACCAATAACATGAAAATCTATAGCTTTAGAGCCATGTTTCTCTATCATATATTTAATAAGTAATGCAATTTCAGCACCAACAACTTGAGTATTTGATGCAGCTTTTGTATATGGAAATCCATTACCTTTAGACCAATCAACCATAATAACATTTACATCTTCCTAAATTTGCAAACATGTACGATCATAGATAAAAGTTTTATAAATCGATACATACTACATCGAGCATAGCATTTTTCATATCTATCCACCATTGTTTATTATTAGTACTATCTAAAAAGCCATGAACAAGAAATTTTGTAGGTACTTTTGAAGACCATGGACTAAGTGTTGTGGATCGGCTAATTTCTGTGCGACTTTTTCGTGTTGCTCTTGTATATAAATAAAACTTAGTTCCAATTACACTTGGCTAAAAGAATCCGTAAAAGAATGAAAATGAAAAACTAGAGAATATTAATCATACCTGATCAGGTAATACAGTGAATGGTCGTTGTAATGTTCCACCTATTTTATCATAAAAACAGTTTATTAATTAATACTGAAAGCATTCTTACCAAATGGTTTAGCAGTAGTAAAACATCCATGTTCACCATAACATGTTTGAGATGCTCGACTACTATGAACTAAATTTATATATCTTGTTATTGATCATATTCGAGTAAGTATTTTACTAACCTGGAAGAAATTCATCAGCATGTACTGCTAAAGTAGCAAGACATAAAATTGGAATAGTAATATAAAACAGCATTATTGTCGATGTACACACACCCACAGACTTTCCTCTATTGGGAACGAATATGATAATAGATATAGAACAACACGCTTTAAAAACACTCCTGGTTATCATTGATGGGAGCGGAGGCATAATTGAGAAAACTTAACACCTGCGTAAAATAATCTGCGACATAAATAACTACTATTGCTCCCACTATTAGATTATGTGAAAAAGTTAAGATATCGATTTTTTATTTTCGTCTATTAATATCATAATAGAGACCTGAATATTTTTGCATTTATTTTATTCTCAATAATTGAAAAGTATGCAAGCGTTTTACTTAAAAACTATAGAATTTTAGTAATAAAGTATAGATGAATAAAATAATTGATAGAATTGTTTGGTTTGTGTATCATTTCATTTAACTTCTATGACTAGAATTCTCTAAAATTTATTTTAGAAACAATCAAAATAAATTTCCTTAGTATTTTTCAACGCTTGGATTGTATTGCTTTGGATATGATAAATCCCTTTATGGATGACTTCTTTTCTATTTTTTATTAGTTCTCATAAGAAACCAACAACAAAACATATTTCTTTGTTCTAACTTTCTCAAATACAATTAACACAAGGTTTTTTGCTGTCTTTCAGTATTATTCTTTATAACATCATAAAGTACGATTATATTTTCCTTGTCTTCGCATCTTTTATATAAAATACAAAAGTTAGTCAAAACCAGATGCTTCGATTATAATGATGCGAAAAATAATATCTATACAATAAAGAAGAATTGGATCTATGTAAGTTGAGTCGAACCCGATCTATTTCGGTATAATGTTCTTAAATTACATTTATTTATATAATACAAGCAGGGATAGAAATAAAATAGATCGATTTATGTTTATCCTATAATAAAAATACATCATTGAAAACCGATTACATTACAATAACTATTGATTCATAGAAACGAACTATCATTAGATTCGATGGCGAATTAATCTATCTTTTTCTTCTATTAATTAATTATTGAAATATAAATTAATTGTTGTTAAAAGTTCTATTTTATATGGGAATTTCAACGTAATAAACACATTATTTGTCAAACTAAAAAATAACTTGCAATGTGCATATGGAATATTTTCTTCTTAGGTTTTTTTTGAATATATGTTCACAAACACACACACGTATACAGAAAAAAAAATGCACAACAAGCTAACAAATGAGACAATTATGAAAACAATAATGTTAATAAGGTTTCGGACGAATAGTCGTTGGATTAATATAATTACCTCTAAAAGAAACAAACAAAAATAAATAAACTATATAGGAACTCGAAGAAAAATACTTGCCTATTTAGTGCAATACGAGGTAATTCTTTTCGAACACCATCCCGTTGACCTGCAGTATTTATCATAGGTCCTCCACTAAATTAAATTAATTATATTATTAAAAAAAACTTTTTTTTTGTTTCATACAAAGTAAGAGGTGGAGTAGGTAAAAGACCACGTTGTTGTTCAGGTGTTTGTCGTAATTTAAACAATGAATGATTCAATTGACGTGGTAATCCAAGTGTTGATGAAGATATTGTTGCTATTGGGTTAGCAGTTGTAACAGACGTTGTTGTTGTTGATGTTGTTGCTGGTGTTGTTGACGATGATGATGACGTATTTGCAGCAGTCGTTGTTGTTATTGGTGGGGTTGTTGAACTATCTGCTGTTGTTGTATTAATAATATTATTTGTATTGATTTGCTTAGCTACTGTATTTGTATTCATTGATGGAGCAGCAGGATTGAATGGTGTATTTTGTTTTTGCATATTATACATACGTCTTGGACATAATGTAACACGAATTTCACGACCAAACAATTCTTTTCCTAAACAACACAAGATAATCTATTAGAAAAAAGTATATATCGAATAAAAAATAAATTACCATCGAAATAACTAATTGCTGTTTGACATGAATCAGGATTGATAAATGTAATTGTTGCTTCACCTTTACCTTCCCGTGTTTGACGATCTTTATAAACCCAAATTTTTGGTTTTGGTGAGCGTACATCAACCTAGAATTAAATATTTTCAAAAAAACAAATAAGATTTTAATAGGATTTTTTCTTTACCGGTGCAATTGGTCCACAAACAGCAGCAAATACTTCAGCTAATGTTTCATTTTGAATTTCTTTCGGTAAACCAGTTATATAAACGACGTGTCGTAGAAGAGCATTTTCATCACCAGGTTCTATGAAATATTCAAAATAGAAATTAATTAATGATATTAAATAAAAAACTTTTTGTTTTCAATATCACAATGTTAGGAAAAAAAATTAACGAAATAAAATAAACAATAACGCTAATATAGAATAAAAGATCTCAACATTAGAGAGAAAACAACGCTAAACACCATTTGATCTTTTTATATCACACATACACACATATATATAGTAACACGAAAGAATGCTTCTCACTAATGAAATTCGTTTTTTATTTTATATATATATATATATTATTTTGTTGTTTATATTCACTTTGAATTTCTTATGAAAGCAAAACACAAAATATAAACTGCTGAGCGAAATAAACGAAAGATAAAAATAAACAAAATAGACATTTTCACTTACCATCAAGTTCACGTTGATAGCCCCCTCGAGGTGGCAAACTGGAATACACAAGAAGATAATAGAACAATGTTTGTTGTGAAGGTAATTTGTCAAAGAAAAGAATAACAAAATAAACAAACAAAAAAAGAAAAATTTACAAGAGAAATATAACACTGTTGTTCTTTATGCATATATAAACATATATACAGAAAAAAAAGTTTTGTATCACAAAATACATGAAACTAAATTTTCTTTTTTTTTTTGTAAATATGCTGTACTAAAATCATCCTAAAATTAGATAAAATTTTGTTTATATTCATTATTAGCAAAACATAGTTTGCCATTGGACTTTTTGTTCCTAGAAAGTAGAAAGAATTGAATATCAACTGATTAAAACACATAGTACATTAAACACAAAAATGTTCCATATTTTCAGTTGTTTACCGAAACATTAAAAACAAAAACTTAGAAAAAAAAATATAACAATATCGAACGAGGCGATAGAAGAACATAACATATTTTTAAAAAAAAATTAAACTTGAAATTTTTTTTTTCTTTTTTCTTATGAAAATTCACTTACCGATAATGCATTGAATGAGCTTGTTGTGGAATATAATGCATTGAATGATGCATTGGAGCTGGAGGATAATATTCAGGTCGTCGAGGTATCATACCAGCTGTTGGTGGAGGTGGACCATAAACATGAGTTGGTGGTGGATGTGTACCCATTGCTCCTGAAAGATGACTACCTGGTGGAACACCATATGCACCATGTGACGGTGGAGCAGAAGCAGAATAAGCTGCATAGGCACTTGCTGATGATGAACCATTTGATGCTGGTGCTGTTTTATAAGGAGAATAAGGTACGCCTGGCGGTGGTGCACCAGCATATGCACCTATTATAATATTAAATAAGAGTTGTCATTAGATAAAAAAAATAATAGAATGAAACATACCAGCAGCACCTGATGTATAATCATATTGTGCATAATGTGCAGCTGCAGATGTTGGTGGTGGTGTACTACGTCTCGAATCATAGGCATATCCAGTTGTCGTTGGTGATGAACCATATGTTGATGAATAAGATGCTTGACTTGCAGTTGCTGGTGGTGCACCAGCAGTAGCAGCTGATGTTGGATAAGCATAAGCTGTAGTTGGATAACCAGAATATGGATCTACACTTGTATATGGTTGACCTGCTGTAGTACCTAACTCATAGAGAATTATTTTATTTCTATGATTAATTTATCGAAATATTCTACCTGGAGGATAACCTGCTGATGCTGCATAACTTTCATATGATCCAGGTGGTGCATAAGATGCACCTGCTTCATAGCTTGCATAAGATGGATATCCAGAAGATGAATTTGCATCATATTGATAATCATAAGCTGAATATTCGTAGCTAAAAAACAATATCAACCATATTTTTATTTAAATTTATAATAAATAAAAGTACATACGCTGGTTGAGCAGCAGCCATTATTTGGTATTAATATTAATATTAATCTATCTAAAAATAATCAAAAACAAATCACCTTTTGTTTAATAACATTAGATGTTATTGCAAGTTTAGATATAAAATACGTTCACAAGTTAAAATACTCTTAATTTCACATAGCGGACATATCAATAGCAACAGCTTGTCGGATATATTTTTCTTCTTTTAATATATCTAACATAAAACGAGCTACATTAGCTCGTGGTATTCGATTAGCTGTTGATTCACCAGGAAAGAAATATCCATTCTCATTAACTTTAACTTCTTTTTCTAAATAAAATAAAACAATAAATAAAATAAAATAGATTCAAAATGAAATTATAGATTCAACAAACCTATCATACGATCATCAAGTAAACGAGGTGGTCGAACAATAGTATAATCTAAATCTTGACATTCTTTTTCAAGATATTCTTCCATAATGAACATTGAATCAAGATGACGGCCAATCATTGGACGAATAATAAGTTTAAATTTAAATGGATATATATCCGGTTGATCTAAATTTTGAATCTATTTATATATATATTTAAAAAAAGAAAAACTTACATTTTGTATAAAATGAAGTTACACATATTAATCGTTTAACTTTTGCATTACGCATTGCAGTTACTATTGATTTCATTGAATCTTCATAAAGAGTTATTGCAGATATTTGAAGACCGGGTTGACCAAGTGCAGATAAAACAGCAATACGTCCTTCCATATGTGCAGTCAACTCAAGTGGATTCATTAAATCACATGTTATAACCTTTAAAAAAATTAGTTTTCTTTATACTTAGGAAATATATATATTTAGATATGTTACTTCAAGATGTTTATGTTCAAGAGCTGCTAATTTTTCTGGATTTCGTACAAGTGCAGTTACTTTATAATTTCGTTCTAAAGCTTGTGCAACAAGTTGTAAACCAGTATTTCCCGTTGCACCTACAATCACAATATTTCCTTTTGTGTTATCAAGTGAAGTCGCCATTGTGTAACTGAATAGAGATAAATGCAAAGAAAGAAAGAAAGGATGAATGAATGAATATGAGAAAAAATAGATTTCTATTGGTATTTTAGTTTACCAATCATTTTCAATGTTACAATGACATCTATCAAAATTTACAGATTTCATTCAGAGGTTTACTATAGCAACAAATTTTATGAAGATCGAAAGTTTCTTCTGTTGATATTTTCTAATTCTGAAAATAAGAAGAATAGTATTCGAAAAGCTTGATTAAATTTTTTCTTTATCATGGAATCACATTCAAAAGAAAGTTTTAATGGTGATCATAATCAACAACAACAGCAACAGCAACAACAATCAAATGGTTTTGAAGATACCATGCGAAGTGATCAGAGTACAGTAATGGATTTTAATAAAAGTGGAATATTTGTTGAACGTACATTGGCTCTAATTAAACCAGATGCTGTTAATAAAGCAATTGATATTGAAACAGTTATTCTTAATCAAGGTTTTACTATTCTTCAAGTTCGTATTTATACAAAAGTTTAGAAGAAAAAAAAATAATTTCTAATGAATTATTTTATTTAGAAACGACGTGTTATATTAACAGCTGAACAATGTTCGGATTTCTATAGTGAACATTATGGAAAGAAATTTTTTCCAAGTCTTGTTGCATTTATGACAAGTGCCCCACTTGTTGCTATGGTTTTAGCTAAAGAAAATGCTATTCAACAATGGAGAGAATTAATTGGACCTACAAATTCCGATGTTGCCAAAGAAACAAATCCTGATAGGTAACAATTTGTTTGATTTAATTAATTAATTCATTCTGTCTATTTATATTAGTATTCGAGCATTATTTGGTACTAATGAACAAAAAAATGCCGTACACGGTAGTGATAGTGCAGTTAGTGCTGAACGTGAAATTCGTTTTTTCTTTCCGAATTGTAAGTAGATGAAAAACTATGTAAGAATTTATTTGTTAATATATATTTATTTCAAAAGGTATTGTTGAACCAATTCCAGTTGGACAACCAGCTAAAGATTATCTTGAACAAAATGTTAATAAAACATTAATGAAAGCATTAACAGCTTTATGTAAAGAAAAACCAAAAGATCCAGTTGTAAGTGCAATATTTTTCGAATGAAAGAAACAAATTTATTATTTTCTTTATTTAAAGTTATGGTTAGCGGATAAATTAATGGAAATAAATCCATATAAACCAAAATTAACACAAGTACATACATCATCATCATCTCCTGATGATCTTATTATTATTGAATAAAAAATAAATAAACAATACGAACTAGAATGTCATAATAAACAACTTATATTCTGCTATTTTTGTCCTTCTTTTTTTTTTGAAAATAGAAAATGAACGAACATGCAATAAGATAAATAACTAAATAATAACAAGTATCATATTATAGATAATAGTTTATAATACATATTTTTCTAGTTACGTGAGTCAATGCCATGGCACATTCTTTCTGATTGAAAATTACTCTGTTTAGAAATTTCAAGAGAATTTTTATTAATCATATTATCGGTAAAAAAGATTTGGGGGAATTTTGTTAGTAGAAATTTGATTATAAAATATTAGCAAGAAAATAAAATGTTAATTTATTGAGAAAAAACAAAAAAATGTATTAGTAAAAATAATGAAAGCACAAATAATTGAAATTTGTTTGACATTGAAAGCTAAAAATAGATATGATTAAATCTTATACACATAGTTTATTAATGTGTAAAGAAGAAAATTATGTCTTGGATTTTTCCGGAAGGAATTTATGAACGGAATCCATTATTTTATGGAGGTATTCCATTACTTTATGATAGATTTCCAGACCCGCAGTAATATATTTAGAAACATTGAAAGCGTCTTTTATAACTGCACGAATTTTTCCCCAAATTGATTGATCAAAACTACTTTGCATTGATGTTCGTTTTTCAATTTCTCGTTCTTCAGATAACTTATGATAATTACGTTTTAGCATTACATTTGGTGATTTACGTACAGCGAATTCACGTTCATACATTGATTCAATCTCATTTTGTGTTGGAACATATGCAAATGCATTATTTCGTTTTGCATGTTGGTCCTCTTTCTTATTTTCGCGCTGATGCGAGCCAAATATACGTAAACTAAAATGTTTTATTTCACCTATATCACGATATAGCATAGCTGATTGTTCTGATTCAGACGTTTGTGGTTTACGAGTTTCTACACGTAATGTCCAACGACCGACTGGATGTTCATCCCAATTATGATTTGTCAGAAATGGAAAGTCTCTAATGCCTAAAATATTAAAAAGAAGAAATTAATAAATTATATTTATAATTTTATATATACCTTTATGACTTGCATCGTTACTACGATATGAAAGAACTTCCGATGGTGTTTTACTTGGTGATGTAAGTGTAAGTTTAACATCACCACGACGATGAAAATCATATGAAACTCTTGCTACTACATGTTCCATATGTGTTATATTGATACAATTTTTAACATCAATAGGTATCTCAATTGTATCACCAATATTTAATTTCCTAAATAAATCAAATAGATATTTAAAAAAAATATTTTTCTCTTCTTATTCTTACACATTATCACCCGTATAATTAAAAATACATTCATATCTTGGTAATACATTAGTCCAATTTTGTGCTAAAGCAACCATTTGTCCAGCATCAAGTACACCAAAACCAAATTTATCACTAACATGATAGCCAGCTCCATTTATAATCCAATCATCTGTTTCATCCAAATTTGGTATTCGAGCTGTTCGAGCAGTAATATGCATTAAATCACGATAACCTAACTGCGGATTAGCCTCTAATACTAACGCATATACACCTGCAGCAATGGGTGCAGCACTAGATGTACCAGCAAAATTTTTTGTACATCCTCCTTGAATATCCGATGTAATAACACCTACTGATATAGTATCTTCGTACGATGTACGTGAATGTCGACCACCTGTATAAGCAACTGCCATTGTTGATGGACAAAATTCACTAAAATATGTTGATTTGCCCATATGATTAATTGAACCAATTGATATAACATTATGATGTGATACATAACCATCAGCACCGCAATCATCATCAGATGCACCTCCATTACCCGATGCCCAAATATATAAAAGACCTTTACCACTACGTCCCTGAAATTAAAATAATGTTTATTTGAAATTTTATAAAATAAAATATTTACATGTGTAACACCATAATCTAAAGCTGCATTAGTTAAATCATGAGGTGCTTCCATTTTCGTTCCATCATCAGTTGGCCTTTGAATAAAATTCAACTATTTTATTTTATAATTTAATAATAAAATTTTTACCCCCATGAAGCACTTTTAATATCTGTATCGTTAGCAAATAATGTTAAAGCACGAGCTTCTAATAATGTTGTAATAGGTCCATCAAGAATTCGAATACCTATATGAAAATTGTTATATTATATATATATAGAACAGGATTTCTTTTTCTAACCAGAAATATCTGAATTAAAAGCAACACCGGCTCCACATAATTCATTATTTGCTTTAGCAACCGCCGCTCCAGCACATTCAGTACCATGACTAAAACAGACAAGATTTTCATTATTTCCAAAATTTGAAGGAATAGAAAAGTAAATTTAATATTAATAACCATATCAAGCTCGTTAGAAAAAATTCGTTAAAAGCCATATTTTATTTAACATATCTATCTTACTTATTTCCAGCAACATCCATATTTGGACTTGGGTCATGTTCAGTATCGTTAAGATCATTTAAATCATAACTGAACCGAGCTTGCTAATTATATAGAAACATAAAGTACTCAATTTATTCTCAGATTTCTTTTAAGCAAACACATTCATTTATTCACTAATATATGTATATATATACTTACATAACGATCACGTAATTCTTGATGTGCATGATCAAGACCATCATCGACAATAGAAATTAATACACCTTTACCAGAATATCCAGCTGACCAAGCTGGAACAACATTAATATCATGATTTTCTGGTGTATTTAATTGTCCTTTATTTTGCTATATAATTACAATTTTTTTGTTTAATTCTAATCCTAAATAAATAACTTACTAGATACCATTGTTCAGGAAAATATTTATCATCGAATGATACATCAAGTACTGATCTATCTATTTCTATCGGTTCATCATCGTCGTCGTCATTATATTGTTTTTTCTGTTTATATTTGCTAAGAAGATCTATTAATCTATCATCACTAAACAAATCACGTTTTTTTCTCTCTAATTCTTCACCAACGGTTACATATTCAATCTGAAAATAAAAATTAGATTTCTTGGATTGATTTTTTTCTTTCTAATGAATAATTTTACTCGTTCATCACGTCTTAACTGTTCAACTAGGGAGGCAGCCGCACGTTTGGAACGAGCATTACGTTTGTGACGAATTTGAAAATGATATAAACCAACCCCTTCAATCTATTAAATAATATAAAAATATATTTCTTTTGATTTTTTGTTTTCTTCTTATTAACTTACATGTCCACTACTGAGAACACCTCTTTCTTGTGCAATTAAATCAGCTATAAGTTGATCACGCACATCACCTGTTAAACGAACACCAATATCAATGTATTCTTCGTCATCATTGTGTGGTGTAGATGTATTTATATTTGTAATGTATACAAGTAACAGCAAGAAGGTTACCAACCGGATAAATCTTCTTGAAAGCAGACTCATCTAAAAATATTAAATATAGATTACAAATGAAATACTTGAATAAGATAAGAAAAATAAAAGATTTCATAATCAAGTGGTTTTTAGAAATAAATATAATATTTTAATTCATCAAGATCATTTGATGATAAATATTAACATCAATCCCATTTTATTATGTCTATGATATTAATATGAATCATGACTAAGTCAACTAATCATCCTTCTAAAAACAAAAGTTATTTTTATACTTATTTGTTATCATAATCATGTTTATTCAACAGAAACTTAACTTCAATAATTTGTTATATCTATAAACTTATTCGTGTTTTTCAAGAAGAAGACTTTATTGTTGGTTTGATCGATGTTTTTGTATAATATATTGTTCTTACTAAACTATTTTTCATCAGTATATACATCGAAAAAAAACAAATAGTATAACATAAATACAGTTTGATCTTACATGTCAGTGAAGCGTAACGGCGACGAATGATATAATTTTTCGATAAATACTTACTTTTACCAGTCAATCGAATAATATTTTCATTAGAAGAATTTTATCAAATGTTAATTCTAAGTTAATCAAGCACTCTTACTAGAATACCGACAATAAGTGATCGTATCTACTATCTTATATAGAACATGATTACTGTATTTGATCATTATAAAATGACATTCAAGGCTGGTAGAACGAAAAACAAATTGCGTAGGCTTTATTAATGCAGAACGAGAATATGCGCGTAGGAAACAAATATTATTATTCGACTATAAACGAAAAAGGCTTCATATCATACTAAAGAGTGATAGAAGAATATATGTCATTATAATTAATCGATAAGAGAAAAATATCCAATATTTATTATTTAATGATAGTAGCGACATCCACATTACGTCTTATAAAATTTGAACATAAACAAAACAAAATTTTGTTTTTAATAATAATTAAATAAAAGTCTAATTTGAATATAAAAATAAAACAGAAAAAAAAATCTTGTTCTGTTATATGGGAAACGAGCATATTCATAACAATGACAATTCTCTCTTGGACGTATTTAGTCGATATATATCATATGATCTATTTCAAATAAAGTTTCTTAAATAATAAAAATGTCAAATTTCGGTGTAGTATTTCATAATCTATTAAAACAAATTCATTATCCTGGAATAAATCAATATGAACCATATAATTTCGATTGGTTTGTTTATCAACCCGGTCTTGAACCTTTTCTCACTTGGATAGTTAATAATTTATCTAATGAAAATTTTTTAACTGAAGATGAATTGAATAGATATGCTTTATTAAGTAATGATGTTATTGAAAATAATGATGAACGACAAAAATTTCTTGATATTCTTATATCACTTGATAATGGGTAAATAGGAAAAAAATAAATATTTTTGAGTGAATATAAATTTGATTTTTATTAATTAGAAAAATGGTTATTCCATGGACGAATTATCAACGAAATTTAACTGAACAATATTCTTGTATTAAAGCACAAACACAAGCATTAAAATGTCAATTAAATTGGAAACAACAACAATATAAAACTTTATTAATGAAAGGTCCAAAAGGAAAAGAAAAAATTCGTGAAACACGTCGACAAATTGAACAATTATTACAACTTGTAAAAATAAATCATGCTATAATTTTTTTGCTTATTCTTTGAATATATATTTTATTACTTAGTCATCTCCACAAAATCTACTTCAAATATCCGCAAATACAAATAATTTTCAACAAATTGGAATAAATTTTATACAAATGGAAAAAAATTATTTATCGGTTCTTCAAAATACTTGGGTATTACGAAAAAATAACTGAAATTAATTCTTATATCTTTTTTTAGACTGATGAAACAACATATGAACAAAATCCAAATAATGATCTTATTACACAATTAAATAATAGAACTATTAAGTATGTATTAAATAATATTAGGGAAAAAAGAATCTTTTAACAGACTCTGAGTGAGTATACTGTCCATTTCAAAATAAAAGGCAAGTGGGTATTTTTTTGAATGAATTTCGATAGGGACGGTAGATTTTCCATCAAAATCACACATACTGTTTTTCTGAAAGACTTACACAGCAGTTTTTGATGCCTTTTTCCAATAGTAAAACCCACAATTCTCTATTTTGTTCGTATCGAAAGTCATTTAAAAAAATATCCACTAGTCTTTTATTTTGAAATGCATAGTAAAATTGAAAGATTTATAATAAGGTCAAAAAAACATTCCAAACTTCAGTTTACTCTTCATTTAATTAGATAGACTTGACTTATCTCATATTTATTCTTTTCATAATACCCTCTCTACTCATTACGTGTCCTACTTAGTTTTAGAATAAATAAAATCGTATAAAGTTTAGAAAACCTTTGAAAAACATCAATTAACCTTGTGATTTTCATTATACTGAGATATTAGATAAAAAAAACAATTTTCCGTTTAATTTGTGTAAAATATATTTATTATTTTTTCTTTAAAGACTCGTTCGATTAGAAGTTGAATCAGCTTTAGCAAGTGTTGAATTTGATACACTTAAATCTCAATTACAATTATGTACACAATTAAAAAAATATTTTGATTCTACACCAATCGATGATCTTAAGTAAATAGAAAATTCGAAATTTTCATCGATTATTTTTTTTTGTTTTTGTAAAGAAAATTAGCAGATCGCCTTGGGTCAAAATCTAATGTTCATCAACAACAACGTACACAATATGAGACGCAATTATTTAATATTTATTCATCACGTCATGAACATTTACTTGAAACAATTTATTTAAATATTCTTGAAAAACAATTTACAAATGATAATCGTCTTGCTTTAAAACAACAAATTATTCTTGATAGTCTTAATCAACATGTACATTTTTGTAAATTAATTGATGGTTTACTTAATCATAGATTAATTATTATTAATCAAACAACGGAACAAATGAATAAAATAATAAATTATATTAGAATGATTATTGAGAATTCAAAACAAACAGCAATTATAAATAATATAAAACAACAAAAACAAGATTTAAATATTGATTTAAATATAACTAATTTAATTGAAAAAATTAAACAAATTGAAAATGATTTTTCCAAAAAGTAATAAGAAAAATTTTGTGTTTGTATATCTTTCTTTCTTTCTTTTACTAGTCATACAACTGTTAATTCATTTCTTGAATATATCAATCGACAAAATGAAGATTTTCGACCAAAAGCAAATGATCTATCAATTGAACTTGATAATCTCATTGAAACAAGAAACAATGAATGGAATAATCTTATTACAACAACAATTCAAAATCATTAAAATATTTTTTTGTCTCTCTTAAATCAAATCTTATTGTAACATAAAATTCTATATATTCAATAAAAAATTTCTTCTATTAGACATACACAAAAATAACATTTCGAAATTGAATAATTATATATATTATAAAAGAACAAACTTTGCCTGTCTAATGTCGAGCCATCTTTAAAAATAAAATGCAAGTAAATAAAACACATACAATTGAAAGAATGTTTTTCATTTGTATAGAATATTCTAACGAGCTATATTATTTATACGATTTTTATGTTATATGTCATGATTTATTCTATTCTTTCAAGTTATTCATCTAACTATGGTTTGAAATGTCGTTTTATTTTATTATTCGCTATTATTTTATACAAAAGACTGAAAATTATCTTATAAGAGCATTTTATAAATTAGATGATATTTCATAGGCACGGATAGAGATATAAGCCGTGCGACTAAGCCGCCGCTGAGACACTCTAATTATAGCCACTAAGCCGCCGCTGATTATTTTACTGGATTAGCCCTCTAGTAACGTTCTTCTAAATCGTCACTTAGTTTCGTTTAAAGCAGCTTAATTTGTCCAATATTAAACTTCTTTTGTTTGCGAATATATTTTTTCTATAATTTCGATCTTTATATGAAACATCTTGTCTTTTGTTCAATTTTTCAAAACATTTTATTTTGTAACGAATCATCTTCACATTAAATGTATAAAAAAATATTAAAGATAAATAATATGAATATTAACTTCAAGATCGTAAATCATTTTTTGAAAAATAAATTAATTTAATCATAATTATTTAAAAATCACTTTGTGCTATATCATTTGATTTATTTCTTGAAGGAATGTTTATAGGATTTAGTAGTAATTGCTTCTTCTTTTTTCTTTTTTGATAATAAGGTAATAATTCAAATAAAGAGTTAAAAAATGTTTTTCGAAATGATCGAGATGTTAATGTTGATAAATAAAATGATTTAACGTTAATAAGATAATAAATATTATTACTTATAAACCAAATAAAATAATGAATTGTTATTTCTTCATTAGTTTTTAATTGATCTTTTATATATATATGATACATATAAAAACTAATCCATTGTAATGTTAAAAAACTTGTTGTGAAAACGTGAGTAAAAATCATTCGAAGAAATGGACTTTTTGATCCAGTAATTTTTGTTAGATTTTTTGAACCCTAGAAAATAAAATGAAACAAAAAATAAAAGTTAAAATATTATTATGAATATATTTACCGCTCGACGACGACTAGCTAAAACATTTCGATAAGTAAGTAATACAAATATTAACATTACAAATGGTGTTATAAAACCATGAATAAATATATATAAGATACCATTTCGAAATGGATCTGTACAAGTACATCCAAAACTGGGTTTGAAATCATAATACATAGGTGAATAGAGTGACATAATACCACTGATAATAATAGTAATACAAATTATAAATGGTACTACTACTAATCGTCGAATTTGACTTATACATGATGTCATACTACATGTACATGCATAGCGATCAATAAGAGATACAATTAAAAAATTTATAGATAATTGAGGCAAAAAGACTAGACCAAAAAGTTTTAACTTACATACATAACTACTAGTTATTAATGAAAGTATATTCTCATTTTTTGGAGTTCTATAAACATGGAAAAGATTCACAAATAGATTAGTAACATCGACTAATGATCCACAAAGCAAATAAATACAACAAGTATTTAATCGGAGAATTGGTTGAAGAAAAGTAAATAAATTTCCAATAAAACCAATTATACCAACAATTATAAAAATAAGTGGTAAATAAATGAGAATGTCATGTTTTATAAAATTTAGAGTATGAATAATATGATGTGATGATGTAGTAGTATTCATACTTCTACTTCACGACATATATTCCATCATTTTACTTAAAAAGAATAATATCTTTTGTTCGGCTTCAATTTCTAATGTGCTTCCGAATAGAAGAAAACTGTTTTTCCAATAATAACGTTTATAAATTGAATAGAAAATAACAAAACCAACTATGAGACAATCATTGTAAAATAAATTCAATTATAGTTGTAAGTTGTAGTGATAATGATTCTATTTTATACGAAGAATGTTATTAAAAATATTACAAAAAGGATAGCAACATTGAAGAAAAATATTTAACAATGAAAGTTAATAATTTATCTAAAAGAATATATAGAATTTTTTATGCACTGTTTAACTTATTTGATAGTCGTACTTTTAGAAATGTCTCGTAACTAAGATAAAGGAGCTAATGTACTTTTTTTGTAACCAAGAAAATATAGAATGCTATTATAAGTATACTTGGCAGGAAAGAGAAAAAAATTTTTTCAAATATTATTATCAACCATTCTATTTTAACATAGAATACATGTAAAAGTAATACCAACAATCTTTTGTTTAGTCTAAAACTCATGAGAAAAAGAAAATTAATAATTCTATTAAATCTTCTTCGCCACTAAAAACTCATCTCTTTCAATGTACTCTTTTCATGACCTACATAGAATCTTTCTGATCTCTACTTTAGAAGACAGATTTATTGGAACATCTTAATCATACAGAAGACTATAATCAACAATATATGATGTCACTACTCGAAAATATTTTATATTCAATCAACGCCCAGAGGACTACTGAATATATTACTATTTAAATTTTCTTATGTTCTTCGATTAACTCTTCCTAATCATTAATTGATATACACTGATTTAGTCTATAACCATTTAAAATTCATTTTCTTGTTTACATATTCTTCTCATAAATTTTCTCTAATTTTTTAAATTAATTATTCATAAGATAAATTGAGAAATCTCTATTGAAATAAGACATCTTAAGCATAAAGTTTTTCATTAATAAAACACCTACTAAATCCGATATTTTTAATCGTAAGCAGGTCAATAAATAGAACAAAATTGCTATAGGATAAGAGAGAGAGAAAATAAGATTCTTAAAACAATAACTACTTACATATGAAAAATAGGATAATTATTTCCTGAATATGCATTCATGAATTCTTATTGGCACTTATAAATATTATTTTTTTGTAAGTTAGATAGTATGTTTGAGTTATTTACAAATGCACTTTAACTTCAAAGTGTATGACAAATTACTATCTTGAATAATACTGACTTCGCTCATGATGTTTTACATAATGTTGTAAGAAAAAAGAACATCATAGAAAACCTCTTAAACTAATAATTATTTTTATATAAAACGTGCGTTGTTATGAGCATATACTCAATGTGCGTGCTTAGAATAAGGTTCTCTATCTGTAAATTTCATATGAAATGTTTATGTTAATATCTAAATAGCAGTTCATTTAAGATGCAGACAATGTATTAATTAATCTTATCATTTCAATCACAATACTTCTATGATAAATCCATGTTTTAATATATATATATAACTAGTACTTTGTCAACTAAAAGCTTTTTGTCTACATATTTGCAACGAGTGTATTTATATTTAATCTAACCTTATATTAGTTGTTAATGGTAATAGACTTATGGTTTCATATTTTATTTACTTGAACAAATTAGCAGGAATGACGCGAGTCAGCTAAGATTGAAGGGAAGGATGTAGCAAAAACTTTTAGAGTAAAAAGATGGATTTCGCGCTTTTTTGGGAGTGTAGCATTATCTTTGGTAAAAAACATAAGGATATTTGCCGATTTTGTTGAGTAAAAAATAGAAATTTTCTAAAGATTGGGAGATCTTAAACCCTCAACAGCTCGCCCCTCCCCCCCTCCATCGCGCCACCTCTGCAAGTTAGAATAATTATAGAAGAGAAAAAACAATTTGAATACATAACTAAAAAATAACTGAACCATATGACGCATAGAAAATGAGAAAAAAAGCTTTTTAAACCACTTCATATAAGTATTCTGATTCATATTGTATCTACGAGGTAACAAATTAGAAAAGTTTATACAAGATAAAATAACAAACATTGGAATTTGTACTTGATAATCAGAAAGAAAAAATAACTGGGTACATTTTGTCGGATATTCTTACCTATATATAAGCATTCGTTCTTTAAAAAAACAACAGTACTTATCAAAGTTCAACAATTTATAGCAGGCACAACAAAGTATTAGTATTTTAAAAAAAAGATAATCTTTGTCTGTAAGTTTTAACCTATGAAATTATATATTATGAATTATAATTATACTTATGTTTGAAGAATAATAGCTTTTATCTAGATTATAGAGTATTGTACAAGTAAACTGAAGTATCTAGATAAATCATATGAATAACAGATATGTAACAAACTGACGTAACTGATATTACTTCATATTTATATTAGAATAATAGTAAGATAATTGATTTATTTTAGCACTTTCTTGCTAAATCATCTGATATATAATTCGAAGCTTATTGATGACATAGGTCAACTTAGTATTTTATAGAAATAATGAGAGATAATTGGCTATCTATTTTTCTACTCGATTTTCTTCTAAATAAACTGAAAATTTAAAATTCAATAGAGCAGTAATTTCTATATTGATTCATGTATTTTTAGTCTTATTTAGCTGTATATTTTTATGAATTAATTTGAGATTATACGAATATTATCTAAAATTCTAATAGTAAAATTTAATTTTCTTCTTCAACTCGAAACAGTATTCTTCAATACTTCGTACAATCTCGGTTTTTGAATAATCATTTTATTCTAAATTTTTATCACGGTATTGACATTAGTTTAACATAGCAATATTCAATAGAAAAATTACTCTTCATAAACGTGCCTCATACTATATATATATTTTCATATAAAAATATTAAAAATAATCGTACAAAGTTCTGCACTTACCCAACTATGTTATATACTATACCAGATCTTTCCATTTCATACTTTGAACTACACAATATACGTATAGTAGTTTCATCGAAGAAAAATCATTCATGCTTTTTCTATTGATTATTTCGTTATCAACCTCCAAAGTCTTCATTATTTCTCCGACAATACAAATGCCTATCAACTAAAATTGACGCGAATAGTTTTTAATCTGTCTAGATCATTTTCAATCTCTTCATCTGATGCCAGTTCATGCTTATTAATACTATCCAACATATTATTATTCAAGGATGTGCGTGAATCGATGCATATATTCAAGCGCTCTTCTAATGACATGC